AAGTCAATTTTGCACATCGACCCTACTCTCAAGGTGACACATGATGAGTATTTGCATTTGAAGAGTCTATGGGGTGATGAGATCAAACTCGCGGATCAACCAGGATGAGCACTCCATAACCAGGTTAGGTCGAGCTAGCGACGTTAAACTTAGCGCTTCATGGGAGGCACCCCATGTTATCTTTTATTTCTTTCATATTTATTGCTTTCTAGTTTAATTTTATTGCTTTCTAGATTCGTTTTTATTTAGTTTTATTGCTTTCTAGTTCGTGATTATTTTTGCTTTTTAGTTTTTCTCTTTTCTCTTGCACCCGGGACGATGCAAAGTTTTAAGTGTGGGGGGGAGGAATCATTAATTTAGGGATATTTCTAAAATTTTTGCTTTTGCTTGGATGACTCATATGCTATTTTTGGTGAATAAGTTACTTGTCTTAGCATGCTGTTACAATTACTCTCTCTTGTTGGTTTGTGGTTTGTTTTAGTGGTGCTTGCTGCATCTCAATTTGTGATGGATGATTTGAGGTGTAACACATATTTGATCTATTCCCTTGCCAATAGCTTTGTTAACCACTTAATAATGGGATTAATTCTTGATCTTGTGTTTTGCATTGCTAGTGAAGGCTTATGTGAGATTCCGGTCATGGGTGTTTTGCTAGAACTTGCCTCATTACTCCCTAAGTGATGTCTAAGTTTTGCATGTTTTGAAGTGATTTAGGCCATTATTGTTTAGCCATAGCCTTTAAACCTGTCCCTATATATATTTTTATCTTTCGTGTCCCCATTGTGCCTTTTGTTTGTTCAAATAAGTGCTAAGCACTTATCCCCTCTTTGTGATTGTTTTTCTTTGATTTACCCCATTATTATAACCATTAACCCTTGGCCAAATATTTCCCATCCACCCTTGAGAGAATGAAACTTTTATCTTTATCTTTTCTATAAGAAGAGTTTTTATGGAGTTGTGCTATGAAAAAAAAAAAAAAAAAAGAAGCAGCTAGTGTTACAAATGTTCAAGAGTGGAGGTCATGAAAGTTTGGATTAAAATTATCTTGCTATATCCAAAAGAAGTCCAAAGAAAAAAAAAAAAAAAAAAAAAAAAAAAAGAATGAAAGTTTTTGAGTTTGGATCCCCACTTTACCAAAGAGTTGCTAAGTTCTTAAAAGAAATTTGCTCATTGGAATTATGATTGCCTCATCTCTTCCAAATTTTGAAAAGTTTAGATAAATTGTGACATTCTCTCTTTTTGATTAATTTTTCCATACCACTTCTTTGTTAGCCATCACCCGTAGCCCCATTACAAGCTTAATAAAGTCATATTTGATCTTAGCATGCATTCTTAGATTTGATCTAGGGGAGTATGAAGGGCAAGCCTATGGGATCTCATTCATGAACCGTGTCTTGCATAATCTCAACTGAGTATTTGTACACACTTGATCCTCACACACTTTAAATTTTTGGTGCTCAGTTATTGGCTTGGAAATGGGTCTCTTATGTGCCAAACTAATTTGATTCTTGAAGCTTGTTGTTTTGTAGCAAGTGGGTTGGTGGTTTGAAAGGTTGTGCAAGAGAGAGCATGAGTAATTTGTATGTTTTGACTTGTGATTTTATTCCTTAGTTTTGCTTGAGGACAAGCAAAAGCTTAAGTGTGAGGGGGTGATGTTATCACATCTGTGCTTGTTTTATGGTTATTTTGAATCATCTCAGTAATTAAGTTCTTTAATTTTGCTTATTTAATACATGTTTTCCTTGCTATTATCATTTAATTATAGTTCACACTTGTTTTGAATGTTTTACGGTGTTTGTTAGTGTTTTTTAAATCATTTTAGGTCAAAGATATGACCAAGGGGAGTTCAAGGATGAGTTTGGAGCAATTTTGGATGAGTTCGGGGCCCAGTGGACTCGACGAAATTTTCCAGTAGCTAACTAATTCGCGCACAGAAAGTCTCGACGCGTGGAGAAAATTCTCGACGCGTCGAGAGAATAGGCGTCTATTTCTGGGATAAAAACAGACGCCTAAAGTGGCGCAGCTGGGCAAAATTCAATACAAGCGCGAGATTTCTTTTCCTAATATCAATTGCACGGATTTCAAGGCTCATATCTCCATATTAAAAGTTAGCAATTCAAGGAATCTTCCAAATTCTAAATATCATTAAAGACGGCAATTTCTTTATTTAAATATAGGAATTAGAATTTGAGTCCAATTTGGTACAAGATTCCTATTTCATCTCAACTTTGTACCCACTATAAAATCCCTCCTTCCTCAACCCTAAGAAGACACCGAGAGATTTTCAGAGTTCTTTGTAGACAAGAAAGAGAGAAATCAAGAGGCTCAAGTTATCTTTGGAAGCAAGGTGGAAGCCACGGAGATTCGGGAGAATCGCTTGGTCAATTCTTGTACTCTTTTGATGATTTGTGATTCTTTATTTATATTTGCTATGTATAATTTAGCCATGCTTGGCTAAATTCCTTAGGGATTTTTGGGTGAATTTGTTTATGAACCTATGTGCCTAGTTCGTTAATTTCTTAATATATTTATGTTTGGTTTTATGATTTGTGTTGCAATCTTGTTTTTAACCTGTTGTTGTTGGTAATTAAAGGCCTAAATTACTAGCTTCATAGTCATATTTGTGTCACCAATGGGAATTGGGGCATAAATTAGGGCACACACGATTGCACCTAATGGTTGGTCCTTGGGAAAGGGGAACTTATTAGGGGAAATTTATTCTAGATTATTGCTCATCGGGAGATGGAAGTAATTAGGAATAATTGAATGCTGATCTTTGATCTTATTGGGTGTTTAATCCATGGGAGTGGAAATTCACTAGGAATAGAGATTACGGGAGTAATTCGATTCCACTTTGCGTTCCCATACAAATCTTAATTCCAAACCAAATATTACAAACGTTAATTGGCACTAGGTGATTAAACATTGTGATCCCAAGAATCCTATTTTGCTCTATTGTCTACAAAACCTTGTTACTTATTTTATTCTGCTTATTATTTTATGCAATCAATCAACCTTCAAGTTTTGTTCGGATTAGTTTCATATGAGTAACCTAGTAGCTAGTGATTAGTTCACCACCTCTCTGTGGTTCGACAACACGAATACTCCGGGTATTATTTGTTTGCCCCAAATTACAGTAATCAACGGTATTTCCCTAAAACCTCCTTTGTTGATGCAACGATAGGAAATAACCCCAGTTTTTGCTGGCGAAGTATTATAGCTGCCCATGATCTGGTTTGTGGTGGAGTTCGAAGAAGAATTGGGAATGGTGAGACTACTTTAATCTGGGGACACCCGTGGTTGCAGGATAATCCTAGTCCACTTGTCCAGACAATAATGCCTGAGGCTTTACGAGATGCTGTGGTAGCAGGGTTGGTGGACCAGCAGACTAAAACGTGGGATCCTCATATTTTGACTGACCTGTTTGAACCGGATGATGTGAATCGTATTCTGAAGATACCAATCAGTCCGGGTTATGAGGATACATGGTATTGGTTAAATGACCCAAAGGGCCTATACACTGTTAAAAATGCCTACAGACGTCTAATGGAAGAATTTCAACATACTACTGGGGAATTTGATAAATGAGTAGCATTATGGAAAATGAGAGTACCCCCAAGTGGAAATTTTTTTTGTGGAGAGCTGTGTGTGATATACTCCCTACCACATCCAATTTGATTATAAAGAGAGTGGATGTGAACCCAACATGCACAATGTGTAGCCTCACACATGAGAATGTTATGCATTCATTAGTATTATGTGACTATTCTAAAGCTGTGTGGAATGTTTCGGGGTTGCCTGTTATGAATATTTTAACTCATTCATTTGAGTCTTGGCTTATGGCTGCTATGGATATGCTCACAGGCGATCAGGTTCGCCGTTTTGTAGCAGTTCTCTACTACTTGTGGGCTGCAAGGAACGAAGCCGTGTGGGAGGGGCATTGAGGAGGCCGGTGGTGGTTTGGCGTCGAGCAATCTTGGCGGAGGAAGCCTACACGGCAGTCCACTCTCGTGTTTCTCGGGCAACGACCACAGCCACGATACAGGTTGCGAACGGTCGGCCAAAGTGCCATTTCGACGCCAGGTACGATCCGGCATCCGGCCAGGCAATGTTTGGAGCTATTTTGATCGATCACGATGGCAGGTTCAGAGCTACGGCCAACGGGATGCTCCCGAGGTGTTTTTCGCCTCTCATGGCGAAAGCGTTGGCCTGCAAAGAAGTCCTGTCTTGGCTTAAAAACCGAAACGAGGGTGAGGTAGATGTTCTGACGTATTGTCTTGTATTGAAGAATGTTGTATGCTCAGTATCTACGCCGAATTTATCTTACGTTGGAATCATCGTAGATCAATTAAGGCAGTTATCAGTAGTTTTAATTATTGTTCGCTCAGTTTTATTACTAGAACGCTAAATTTACATGCGCATGCATTAGCTAGATTAACTTATAATCAAGATCACTCTATGTATTGGGATTTGATCCCTCCTGACTTTATCGTTCAATTCTTGACTTAATATATTGGCTACGCCATTTTTCAAAAAGTATAGAGTGAGATTTTATCTCATTAAACCATTTTTAAACAAATCAACAAGTAATAAGATCAACCACAGATCTGTTCTCCAAGTGTGCAAATTTTTCAATTTAGAGTGAAAGGATTATATAAGATCTTATAGATAATGTCATATTTATTTTAATAATTTGTAGTGAAACTGATAAAATTATAAATAATGTATCATCTACTACTGTTACAATATATAAACGTCAATAAGGGTTGATTTTAACTTGTATATTGTACTTACTTTATTATTTGCACTTAGAATTTTTTTCAAAGTATCTTTTAAATATAATTATGAAAAAACAGTTGCACATCGTAATGAAAGAAATTACACGATACAGTAAAAATATTTACACATCTATTATTATAAAAAAAATAATAATAATAGTAATAACTAATAATAATGCATGTGAGCTTCATTAACTTTGTGAACATATAAGAATGTGAAAATGATTCAATACTCCAAGAATATATAATTAATAATTTGCTATATCTATACATTGACCACAACTTTTACTTGAGTAGTGTAGTTGTGTTAATATGTTATGGAGGAACAGTATAAGATCTTCTTACAATTAAATTACTAAGAGAATTCACTAGTCAAAACTATTAATATAATCCGTTATTCACTAATCGTTAATTGTCAAACAAGACAAATATCGTGTCCTGTGAAGTGAAGCCTACAGCTGGCTACTCATCAAAGTATAATTTATCCAATTCAAATATAAGAACCACATGAAAGATGGATTAAGCAGTACCTAAAGAAGTTGCTGAAAGAAGATGGAGACTACTTAGAGCCACTGGAGGTGTATATGAAGAAGGATGAACTGCTAGTATAGCTGGATATGAATACCTTTCCAACTGAAGTTGGCTGAGAAAATGCGAGCTCCGAACGCAAGAGAACTTGACCATTGCAAAAACTTTTCCTGCATTAATTAAAGCAATAAAAGTCGAAGAAATTCAGTAAAAAGTAGATAAGAGTCTTGGAGAGTTAATAGGAAAGAATTCACTGTTTCAAGCATGCAATAGCAAAAAGAATCCCCAGAAGAATGAGTTACAAGCAATGCAAAAAACTGAAATGCAGATTTTTCTTGGTGGAACAAATATGTGCAAATGGTTTCACTCATTATAGAAACCGAGGTATTTGATCAAGATTCCTTGTTGAAGCCTTGGCAAGCAGTTATTAATTCAGTTCGCTCACTTTTGAATGCAAAGGCAATAGGAATATCTGTAATCCACAAGTTAAATACCTGAGTATTTATATCCTGCTTGCCATAATCTATAGTTCTCTATCATGGGGTTGACAAATTTTCATTTTTTTTAATGATGTCAAACAAGTTCTTAAAAAAAATTTGGATTTGAGGGGAACTACCAAATCCAGAATATGTGCAATGTACCCATCTCTTTAGTAAGTTAAATTTTCTCAATGGGAGATTTGGGAAAACAAAATTCTCAAGTCAATCTAGAAACTGAAGTTGTTGAAAATATGGCTATTACCTTGCAGCATCAAGCAAATAACTAGCAATGTGTTTTCTTCTATTGGAAGGAGTGACCCAAATGGCTCTAATGCCACACAAAGCAGGTACAGCTTCCTTCTCACACAAGATCACTCCATTTAGGCCATCATCTAAACCATCGAGTCTTTCTTTTGGGGGATCTCTTCTTACTTTTTCCCGTTGAAAACTGACTCCTCCAAACTGCAGAACCGTAGATCTCTGACTTACTTCCCTTTCAGCCGCAACACTAGACTTGTTGCCTTGCGAACTAGAGACAATTCTATACGCCTCCTTTATAGGTTCTGCTACCAGGCATCCACCAATTCTTCGAGAAGAGATAAACAAATACACCTGTAATAAGTGGAAATACTTGAAAGTTGCACTGGGAAATATCTGTACAAGTCATAGAAGAATGGAAAAGAATGTAAACTGTGGAGGGGTATCAAGTTATCAACAAGATATGAGTATACACAACGTTGAAGATCTTTATTCATATATCAATAACTACCAGAAGAGAAAAATATAAGCTTGCTTGCATGTGAAACAAGGAGATACAAGTTGCAAAGAAGTACGATGTGGAAAACAACTATGCATACAAGAAATTGATCCTATGATCTGGAGTTTAAATGCTAAGCAACATAATATTAGTAGTTGTTGGAACCTTGCATTGCTGATTATATATCCACCCTTCACCAAGTTCCACCTCCATCATCTTTACGACTTCCTGAACCTGCCAATATACTAGAACCTCAGTTAATTGCTTAGAACATTAGCTACTGAAACTAGTGTTTCTTGTGGAAACAAAAATATGGCAGGATATGTGAGAAATAAAAATATAGTTCACCTTGTTTCTCCAAGGAGGAGGGTCATCATTTAAGACCAAGATAATGCGTCCTGCTTCAAATGAAGGAATTGGAATAATTCTTTCATTCTTCCAGCACTGGAGAGTAAATCAAACAACCAAAAAGAGAAGGGAGGAAATAGTAAACCAAGTATTAATAGTAAGTCTATGCATAAGATTTACAGAGAAAAAAAAGCATGTTGAATAAAAACAAGTGAGACCAAGGCTTGTGAGTTCAACATGTAAAACCTTAAATGGGATTCCAACAGTGTAATTCTTGTGAAATGCCTGGTGAACCTTCTCATCCCCTTCTTGACCAGTAGCATACTGGAAGTTGCATACATTGCAAGTGTGCAAGAAAAAATCAGACTGACCAAATTCCAAATGCAATTGGGCATAATTTCTCTTCTTATTCAGAACTTTTCCAGATGTGGGCAAACCAAATTTCACAATTGAGCTCCTAGAATCAATTTTCTTGGGTGCTTCACCATTTGATCCATCCTTGCTATCACTGTATTTTGGTAGCAGAACAATTGACAAAGAGTGAACACTACTTTATTAGGCAACAAAATTTCAAGCACATGAAACACAAATAGTCAAATAAGGAGTTACATCAAATTAAGAAGGAAAAAAACAGTATAGAAAAAGAAATTACTAATACAATCATTGGGGAAATTGCTAGATATGAGAAGAAAAATTATACTGGAATCAAAAAGAACTCAAACAGCTGCAGCATGCTTCAAATTGGAAAAAAAAAATGAAGAAAATCTCCAAACAACCAGGGACAAATCAACCAATCTCTTTTAAAAATGAAAAGCAACAACCAGCGCAGTCAGCCTCACTAAGTAACTTATTAGAACAAGCAGGAAAGAAATGGCCAAATAAACTGAAAGAAAACAGAAACTATATCCATTATTCACATCTACATCGAAATAACCCTACAAACAAAAACCGGAAAACAATAAAATCCAAATTTTCCTTGAGGTCATAACTTCAAAATAAAATAAAATAAAAAAAATAACCATGAGACTTTAAAGCTAATAAGGAAAACTTAAAGTGATAGAGATCATACCTATACAGTTGGGAATTTCTACGCTCATACGTAACGGTAATATCTGGGTATTTCTTTTTTGTGCCTTCCCGGTGGAACAAATCACCGGAGATGGAAGAAGCGTCAGCGGTCTTGGAAGTGCAGGGTCTGGAAAAGGCGTTAATCTTCGATTGCATTCTTCAAATTTTACTCTATATTCTTCTTGAGGACCACATGAAGCTATTGTGCAATGGCTTACAAGTTCCAATCTCTGCAGAGGCAGAAGAAGCATCAAGCTAAAGGCTGAATCAAATATGGATGAGCATTTCAGTATTCAGTTAGGTTTTTTTTTGGTTTCAGCCTTAAATTTTTTTGAGCATTTTGGGGGCTTAATTAAATTTTTGTAGCACCCAAAATGTATTGTTAATCATCATATTATTAATATATGGATACAGGGACGGAGCCAGGATTTTCTTTGAGGGGGGGCGAAGAAACAAAGGTAAAATAAATTAAAAAATATTCAAATACAAGGTTCATGTGATAAGTGTCATGTGCTAAAAATAAAATACATGCAAAAGTATAGTATACCTGATAACCATATATATCAACCACATTTACCCGAGCACCCTCTTGGAGTAAAAGCTTGCAACCGGAACTGCACCCCGAACTGCACTCCGAACTGCGCTAATGTTGTTTGCCCTGTATGATCTGCAGCATTTACATCTCCTCCATGCTGCCGATTGTAACACCAAGCAATTGCCAATTGGCAGTACTTAGTATGTATATACTTAAAGCAAAACAAAACTTTCACAACAAAGTTACAAAAGAAAAGGCACTAAAACTCATCCATCCAAATATATCATATTAACTTCTGTTATTTTCAGATCAAGCACAAATAGAAGCCTTGAACAGGCCTTTTGGGAGCATAAAATCATTGTCTCATTGTTAAATGGAGTCCTTGACTTTCACAACAAAGTTACAACCTCTCTTACCTCCACAAGGCACATTTTCATCCAATAATCAAACATTGGTTTTGAAAACTCCTCTACACTCTCATTTAGACATACTCACTGCTCATTCTGTCTATTAGACATAAATCATCCAAAACCACTTAAGCACATACGACATTCATGATTTAAAAACAATATTTTTAGCCGCTCACTGGCTCAGTACTCACATAGTCACATACTCACATTCATGAATCATATAATGATATAAAAACACTTAAGCACATACGACATAAATCATCCAAAAACCACATACATTAAATATTTAAATTGATTAAAAAAATAATAGTCACTGCTCACATTCATATAAAATTCAACGGCAACACCAATAATAACAGAGTCTAAGACTTAGGGAAATTAGGGCAAAAATAAAATTAGAGAAATTAGGACAAAATTGCAAAAATACGAACCTGAGAGGCTGGGATTGTGAGACAGTGAGGACTCCTGCTGGGCTGCTGACTGGCGAAATTATGGCACAGAGGAATGGCGAGTGGCGAGGTGCGACCGTTCGGCACAGACAGGGATAGAGCGATAGAGCCACAGATGATCGAGGACTCCTGAGTCCTGAGAGGAGACGAGAGACCGAGAGGGACAGTAGCCGGTACTCCGGTGGTAGCGAGAGGCGAGAGGCAGAGAGGCGGTCAGGCTGAGAGTAAGAGAGACGCAAGAGACAGAGTTCTGGTCAAAATGTGATATAATGAAAATTAAAAAAAAAAAATTATATATATAATACAGCCCCAAAACGGCGTCGTTTTGGGGCTGTATAATTTTTGCCCCCAGGCTAGCTCCGTCACTGTATGGATATGCCACATAGCTCCCTTATCATTCAATCTCAAGATGTTTCTTTTCAATCTTCACTACAGTAAAATATTTACTTATCATATTAAAAAACAAAACAAAACAAAAAACTCAACAACCTATTTGTCTCTTCATTTTTAACATAAAGCACTCATTTTTGTTAAGCTCAGATTTAGTGCAGTATTCATTGAAATGCGATGTCTAGCTCTGGATGTTTTCATTAACCGCATAGCTTCACATCATGAACTTCAAATTCAATATTCGAGCTTCAAGGGAATCAAGACTAGAAAGCATCTCAGAAATCAATGTTCAACCCATAAATCAATGTTCAAGCTAGAAATCAATGAGAGGAGATCGAAACTGTGAGTACCTTCGTCGACAGGAAAGGAGACCGGATCTGTGATCTGTGACTTTGTGGTCCGTCGAGGAGAAACGGATGACGGAGCAGGGCAGCAGGCGAGGCGGCGAGGTGATTTGGAGGCAGGCGGTGCGCGTTCGTCTTCTTCTTCAGTCTTCACTCCTCACGCGCTGTTCGATTTTGGGAATCATGCAATTAGTGAATTAGAGATTTGGGATTTAATCAAAATCCAGTTCGGGAAAAAAAAAACTTGTTCTTTGCCGGGAATCCAATTTTCCCGCCACCCATTACAAATTTTCAAAAGGAATTACTCTTTGTTGGTAATATGCCCCAAAATATGATTAGCGGAGCTACTTCGTCTAACTTCGCAGATCAAGGTCTCTTATTTCTAAAAATAATAATAATAATAATAATAATCTATACTATATATAAAAACAAAATCCTGAAATTTTAACTTCTCGCTCAATTCTTAAAAATTTTTCTTCCCAATAAAATATATTGATTTCTACTTTCCCATCGTACAATAATTCTGAGTTAAAGTTGTGAAGTGTAAAAGTTCGGCAAGGCATAACTTTTGAAATCGCATATTTTTTCGAGATCTATCCACCGCAAACTGTCGTAGGCGGTTTGGCCCATCAATTTCTTTAAAAAAAATGCTTTATTAAATAGTTTCTGAGAAAAAACTATGAGAACCTTATGTTTTATTAATGAATTTTTAAATTTTTAAATTAAAAATTTGTCCCGTGCATTATTAAATTTTTTTTTTTAGATCAAATGGAAGAGGGAAACCCATTACAACTCAGGTTGGCTGATGACTTGCCGCCAAACCGGGATACAGGCTATATCATTATCAATCAAGGACCTTACACCGGAGGGTCCCTAAAATCTAGGACATCTGTGTGGTTACCAAGAGCTATTTTAGCCAAATGGTATGCTACCTTGTTCTGCTCTCGCAAAATAAGACTCATGCGCCACTCATCAAAAAAAATTAACTCGGCCCTGCATGTTAGGATGATTTCGTCTACCATATTATTGAACATCCTACCCTTCATGGCTGCGTTTACCACCAACTTTGAATCTAATTCAAAAATCACTCTTCTGTATCCTAGACGTTTGGCCAACTGTATACCTATGAGCAGGCCACGTGCCTCTGCCTCCTCCACCAAGGATGCCCCGAGACCGCATGAGAAGCATCCCAGCCACGCACCATCCTCATCTCTCAATACACCTCCACAACTTCCTCGATTTCCAGCAAGAGTATATGCACCATCCGAATTCATCTTTGGCTTACTCCAGCTAATCTTTCTCCAAGTTGTATCAATACCTACACTACCTGCCACTTTGGCTTTTGAAAAGGCTTTGGCAACTGACTCCACCTGATCCATAATCCAGTGAATTTTTTTTTTTCCTTTGGCATCTCTTTGTGGTTAAAAACTGCATCATTTCTCCACTTCCACAACCACCATAGCGTGATGGCGAAACCAGTTCCCTGATTGCTACCACCTATATTCCCTCCCATTACACCCTCATTGAACCAAGTGCTGAATTGTTTCCTTTACATACCAGAGTGGTTAGTGTAAAGGAGCTCCAGCCAGATTTCTTTGGCCTTAGGACAATCTCTAAGCACATGAGTTGTATCTTCAATTCTGTCCTCACACCACCAGCAATGGCCATCCTCTGTGAACCCACGTTTGACCCTATTTTGGTTGGACATGATTTTGCCATGCCTGACTAACCATAGGAACGAGCATATTCGATTTGGAATTTTGAGTTTCCAAATGTTAGTCCACAAACTTGCTGTTGGAGTGTTGTCAAACCCAGCTGCCATCTCATAAGCATCTTTTACTGAGAAGCCATTATGTGCACCTCTGCCCCATGCAAATCCATCCGGCTCGTCTGGATTCCAGTGAACGACAAATACTCTTAGTTGATTAATTGCGGTGCCAGACAGCAGACTTTCCAACTTATGCCATTTCCACCCATATGTCACATCCCAATAATCAACCACATGAAGAAATAGATCATCAAGAGGGATTAAGGTGATGGTCTCCTCCTTCAGGGGATGGTAGCCTATCCACCAATCTAACCAAAACAATGTTGACCTTCCATTCTTAATCACCTTTCTTGTACCTTTGGATAAAATCGTCGTGGTATTCATTATTCCTTTACAAGCCAAAGACATTCTTGATTTTGGTTTCCAAGATGATATATCATTGGCCCTTGGTGCATATTTAGCCTTCATTATACGAACCCAAAGCGAGTTTTCCTCGTTAAAGAACCTCCACCCAAGTTTTGACAAGAATGCTTGGTTCATATATTCTAACCTGCGAATACCCAAGCCCCCTGCTCTTTTAGGGGTGGTGACTGTCGCCCAGCTGACCAGGTTGCACTTCCTCTCGCGTTTAGTAGCTCCCCAAAGGAAACTTCTTGATAACTGTTATAGTTTAGAAATGATACCTTTTGGGATCGACATGGTCTGCATAGGGTAAGAAGGAATTGCGGAAAGAACCGATTGGACTAACACTTATCTTCTTGCTAATGAAAGAGAACGTGTCTTCCAACCCGCAAGTCTGCTCTGAACACGGCTAATCAGGTTTGCAAATGACTCATTTTTGAGTTTCCCGTGAATAGACGGTACCCCTAGATACTTACTTACCTAGGTCTTCTGTTCTATGCATTCCAGCTATACTTGTAATCTGCTACTGCAACTCCGGCTTGGTGTTTTTAGAGAAGAAGATAGATGACTTGTAGACATTAACCTTCTGCTCCGAACTAACACAAAAGCGATCCAAACATTCCTTGATTACCAGCATCTACTCAACTGTAGCTTCGCCAAAAAGTACCATATCATTGGCAAAGAACAAGTGCGATATAGACGGCCCATTCCTTCCTATTTTGATCCCTTTCCATTTCTCCAAGCTAACATAATATTATATTAGATGACTTAGCCGTTCGATGCAAAGAACGAAAAGCAATGGTGAGATTGGATCACCATGCCTGATTGCTCGACTAGGCGTGAACCATTCAGAGTGGACTCCATCCCAACTCACAGCTAGCCTGGCAGTCTGGATACAGCAGCCAATGTTCCTCATCCATTTGTTATTAAGGCCAATGTCCTTAAAGGTGTCTTGTATGAATCCCCACGAAAGCCTATCGTAGGCTTTCTCCAAATCTATCTTCAGCAACATCCAACCTTTCTCGCCTTGTTTGTTCCTCATTGAATTCAAAACCTCTTGGTAAACCAAGATGTTATCCACTATTTGCCTCCCGGGAACGAAGCTCGTTTGGTGAGGTCTTATCAACTCTTGGAGGATCCGCTTGAGTCTAGTAGCCATTGTTTTGGTGAGGACTTTGTAAAGGACATTGCAAAGGCCGATTGGTTTGAACTGTTTTGCAGACACTGGGAACTCCACCTTGGGAATAAGAGTTATTATTGTGTCATTACATCCCTCTGGGAGAGTTCCATACCTGAAAAAATCGAGGGCAAAATTAGTAATTGAGCTGCCTATGGTATTCCAAACCTGTTGGTAGAACCCGGCGTGATATCCGTCGGGTCCGGGAGCTTTGAAGGGTGACATGCTAAACAAGGCTTGTTTGATGTACGTGTCATGCTGCCTGGATATGAGCCTTGGAGAATGACGGGTTTTTATGGTTTTCCACAACAGAGTCAAAGTGTTGACTCATGGAATCTACTCAGGAGTATAAGAAATCGTTCACTGCTGCCATTGGTGGTTTTGGGTGACTTTAACGACTTGCTATTCAGTATGAGAAACGGGGGCGTCACCGGCATCCGGAACCTCTCTTGTGAGGGTTTGGTGAGGCGCTGGAGGATTGTGGATTGGGCCAGATCCCTATGATCGGGTATCAGTTTACTTGGGAGAAGGGCAAGGGGACGGATACATGGGTGGAGGAAAAGTTGGATAGGGTGGTGGCGAGTGATGGTTGGCGGGTACTGGTGGAGGGGGCAAGGGTCTATAATATATTAACTAGAAGGTCTGACCATTCGGCACTTTTTCTAGATATACGACCTGACGTAGGGGACAGGGCAGGCAATCGGGGTTTTCGTTTTGAAATGGCCTGGTTGGTGGATGGTTGTTGCAGGGAGGTGGTGGAGGAAGCTTGGGGTAATGGGGTGGAGGTTACAGGCCCGTTTGCAGAGGTGTGCTATGAAACTACAAAGAGGGGGGGGGGGGGGGGGGTGATCATTTCCATAAATTTGGGGAACGTATTGCAACCCTAAAGAAGCAGCAGTTGAATTGTAGGGGATAGAGGACTCCACAAGCATTGGCCGAATTTCGCCAACTGGAGGCTGAGCTGGCTATACTTGAGAAGCAGGAGGATGTTTTCTGGAGGCAGCGAACAAAGCAGCATTGGCTCCGAGGGGCGGATGCGAATACACGTTTCTATCACAGGTATGCTTCTGCCCGTAAACGTAAGAATACTATTTTGCGTCTTAAAGATGAGTTGGGGAGGTGGGTAGATGGGGATGGATTGAAGCCAGTTGTGATGAATTATTATAATGATATTTTTACTGCTAATCCGGTTGTGGTAGATGGGGCTGATTTCTTTGCTTCAGTAACTCCGCATGTAACTCAGTCCCATAATGAGTAGTTAAACCGACCCTATGACCCGGGGGAGGTTAAGGCTGCTTTGTTTGCCATGTTCCATGATAAAGCCCCGGGGCCCGATGGGATGAATCCGAATTTTTATCAACAGTTTTGGGATGTTGTGGGGATGGATGTGACTGATTTCGTTCTTGATTGCTTAAATTCGGGATCTTTACCGCCTGGGTTAAATGAGTCAAATATTGTGTTGATCCCTAAAAAGCAGACTCCAGAACTCGTAGCTGATTTGCGCCCGGTTGCCCTGAGTAATGTGGTATATAAAATAATTGCTAAGGTTATTGCTAATCGTATGAAACCTATGTTGGGTGATATAATATCTGGTTCTCAAAGTGCTTTTATTCCGGGGAGGCTTATCACTGATAACATATTAATTGCGGAGGAGGTTGGGCATTTTTTGAATAGGAAGCAGTTGGGTAGGGTAGGGTTGGGGAGCCCTGAAATTGGATATGGCAAAGGCCTATGACAGAATGGAGTGGTCGTTTCTGAGAAAGATGTTAGTGGTACTGGGGTTTGAGATGGGGTGGGTGAATTTAATTATGGAATGTGTTACCACTGTGTCGTATAATGTTATGATTAATGGGGCATCATGGGGGCAGTTAATCCCATCCAGGGGCCTTCGCCAGGGTGACCCTTTGTCCCCATATTTGTTTATTATCTGTGCAGAGGGGTTATCGCTGTTATTGCAGCAGGCTCAGGACAGGGGGGATTTTCATGGGTTAAGAGTTGCAAGGGGGGCGCCTGCGCTCTCGCATTTATTCTTTCAGATGATAGCCTCCTTTTCTTTAAGTCTAATGTCCAGGAGGCAGGGGTTATCAGAAGGTGTTTAACATCGTATGAGGAACTTTCTGGCCAGACTATCAACTATCATAAGTCTAATATTTGCTTTAGCAAGAATACTCAGCTTGCGGATAGAAATGTTGTGACAGCGGTCTTCGGCGTGCAGCAGGCAGCCAATTTTGGTAAGTATTTGGGCTTGCCGGCCTTTGTGGGGAGGAATAAACGAGCTGTTTTTGCATATATTGGTGATAAGGTTAGGTATAGAATTGGCTCCTGGAATAAAAAACTTTTGTCTCAGGCAGGAAAGGAAATTCTATTAAAATCCGTGGCGCAGGCCATGCCTACTTTTACTATGAGCTTTTTTTTTATTGCCTGACACCTTATATACAGACCTGGAACGTGTTATGAACAGATTTTGGTGGTGGAATGGAAGGGATGGTGGAGGAATACATTGGATGACATGGGATAAGTTGAGTAAGCCAAAGAAGTTTGGCGGGTTGGGATTCAAGGATTTGAGGGCATTTAACTTGGCTATGCTAGGTAAGCAGGGGTGGAGATTTCTTACCAATCCTCAGTCTCTGGTTGCCAGAGTTTATAAAGCCAGGTATTATCCAAAGATTGATTTTCTGAATGCCACAGTTGGAAACAACCCAAGTTTTTGTTGGAGAAGTGTTATGGCCTCTCATGGTCTAATTCGCCGTAATATTAGACGCAGGATAGGGAATGGAAATTGTACTCTCGTGTGGGGAGATCCATGGTTCATGGGTGATTCTACTCCTATGATTTTATCTAATAAGCCTGAGCATTTGGGTGAAGTGAAAGTTTCTGGGTTGATAGACCCGGTGACCTTAACATGGGATATGCCTCTTCTTAATGAGCTATTTCTGCCATATGATATTACCCGGATTATAAAAATCCCTATAAGCCCGGCATATGAAGATTTGTGGTATTGGTTTGGGGACCCTAAGGGGGAATACACTGTGAAAGGCGCTTACCGTGAATTGATGGGAGTCATTCCTATGCGTCTCAATGACTTCTCGTCATGGAATAGGATTTGGAACCTAAAGATACCCCCAAAGTGGAAAACTTTCTTGTGGAGAGTTGTGAGTGGTGTGCTTCCCACTATGGATAACTTAATAAATAGGAGGGTAGAAGTCCCAATTGTGTGCCCTTTGTGTGGTCTTTGCTCAGAAAATATTTTACATACTCTTGTGTTATGTGATTATTCTAAACATGTATGGAATATTTCTGGATTGATGGTGCAGTGTATGGTGGGAGATGATTTTGGTGTGTGGCTTGAGGCTTTGTTCCAGATTATTGATGATACCCACCTCGCCTCTATGGTGGCCACCATGTATCACATATGGGGCCAACGTAACATGGTTGTGTGGGAGTGTAGATTGGTGCCTCCACGTCGGGTTCACACGATGAGAGTGGCTACGGTCGATGCTTGGCGCGCGGCGTGGCTGCATGGTGTGGAGACAACATCTGGACAAGCGCGGGGACGGCTGCGGCAGGCGGCATCTGCACGCGATACGGAAATTGATGCTCATGGCCTGCGCTACTCTTTTGATGCAGGTTATGTCGTAGCATCCGGGATGGGTGTGTTTGGCATCATTTTGCAACGTGCGGACGGTGGATTCATTGTAGCTAAAAACGGCCCGTTGCCAACATGCCAAGGTCCTTTCATGGCAGAAGCACTCGCATGCAAGGAGGCCCTATCTTGGCTTATTGATTTGGGTATTTCGGAGGTTGCACTACGGACGGATTGCTCAAATCTATGTCACGCCCTTACTACTTCAGCGACGGAGTTTCGCTCATATGATGGTTTAGCTGTTTCAGCGTGTCGTCAATTACTTAGTTCTTTTACTTCGTGTTCTTTTGTTTCTATTCGTCGTACGTCTAATTTTTTAGCACATTCGTTAGCTTCTGCAGCCTATTCACAGGCAGACTTTATGACATGGGAAGATGATCCTCCTGTGTTTATTTCGGCTTTGATTGATTAATAAATGCAGCATATACTTTCAAAAAAAAAAAGTTTCACTAATTCGTTTACCAATAAATCTATACTATATATAAAAACAAAATCTTGAAATTTTATCTTCCCGTCCAATTCCTAAAAAATCTCACTTCCTAATAAAATATATTGATTTCTACTTTCACATTCATACAATAATTCTGAGTTAAAATTCTATTATAATATTATTAAATAGTGTAATACAAATCCTATTGTAATATATACTCTATACTATATATAAAAACAAAATCCTGAAATTTTATATTCCCGCCCAATTCCTAAAAAATCTCTCTTCCTAATAAAATATATTGATTTCTACTTTTTCATTCGTACAATAATTCTGGGTTAAAATTCTGTTCTAATATTATAAAATAGTGTAATACAATTCCTATTGTCATCTATACTATATATAAAAACAAAATCTTGAACTTTTAACTTCTCGTCTAATTCCTAAATAAAATATATTGATTTCTACTTTCCCATTCGTACAATAATTCTGGGTTAAAATTCTATTCTAATATTATAAAATAGTTTAACACAATTCCTATTTTAATCTATACTATATATATATATATATATATATATATATATATATATATATATATATATATATATATATATATATATATATATATATAATCCTGAACTTTTAACTTCCCGCCCAATTCCTAAAAAATCTCTCTTCCTAATAAAATATATTGATTTCTACTTTCCCATTCGTACAATAATTTTGTGTTAAAATTTTATTCTAATATTATAAAATGGTGTAACACAGTTCCTATTGTAATCTATACTTCTATACTATATATAAAAACAAAATCCTGAAATTTTAACATTTCGCCAAATTTCCAAAATATATATATACATGCTACGACCTCATGGTGAAATCTATAATCTATAATATAATTAAAAATAAAATCTTGTTTACTTGATTTCTCGTCTAAACAATAGTAAATAGTAAAGGTAAATTAAAAAAGGTAATGGAAATAAAAAATAAAAAAGGATCATAAATATTTCACAATAATATTCTACATCATCAATTAAAAATGGAATGAAAATTAGGTAAGTTGGAAAAAGAAATAAATATTAATAATTGGCTGAAAATTAAAAATGAAACGGAAATATTTCAATAATAATATTCTACATCGTCAATTTAAAATGGAACAAAAATTGGATAAAAATATCACTGTATATGATATTCTAATTGGCTAATTGACTAATTGACTGAAATTTTTTTAAAAAAAAAGAATAATTGGTTGAAAATGAATATGATATTACCAATTGATTGATTGAAAATATAAAAGGAAATGAATATTAATAGTTGATTGTAAATAAAAAAAAATGATCAATAATTGACTAATATGAACAAATAAATGGTTAGATCATTGCATTTTAATTAAAAATGGAACAAAAACTAAAATTGGACGAAAATATTTCAATAATAATATTCTACATCATAAATAGTAAATGCATATTTTAAACAATAGTAAAAGTAAATTAAAAATGAAACGAAAATATTTCAATAATTATATTATACATAATCAATTAAAAATGGAATGAAAATTAAGTTAAAATATCAGTGCATATGATATTCTAATTGACTAAAAATAAAAAAGAATAATTGGCTAAAAATTAATCTGATATTACTAATTGATTTAAAATATAAAAGGATCGCTAATTGACTAATATTCTACCATTATATATTTTTACCCAAGTCACTCATCCTGATGGACTGGATATGTTAGTTCTAGACAATCGATGATGGGAAAGATTGTGTTGCTACTACCAATGTCGTCTACAACGAGGTTTCAATAATGTGTAAATACAATCGTTGATATTATATTTTTTAAAATGACAAAATTGCTATATATCTAGACAAAAAAATATATCTTCCATACAAATGAATTAAGATAGCAATTCATTTCTATAACTGATTTGCTAGAGAACGAGCACATTTGCCTAATTTATAAAAAAAATACTAAAAAATAATAAATAAAATCTCCAAAGTTACAGCACCGCAAGCATACATCTACACATTAGCTATTAATTTGAGCAATTATTTAATTTGCTCAAATTTGATATATAACATCAAAACACATAAATAATCCAAACCATATTTTCAATTACACTATATAATATTTGATGTTCTAATTTAAATAATTATATACCGATCCAAATATTCTTAGTATATTACAACATATCCATTTCGTGCATCGCACCGGCGAAATACTAGTACTCCGTAATAATAAGTCTCAATCCAAGTTATACACATATATTAATGAATAATGATTTATATCTATTTTTTTTATTATTTTTTATAAATTATGCTATAAGAATTATACTATACAATTTTTGGACAAAAATATTAATATTGTTATAACGTTTGTTGTCTTTTCTCATTATTATTACCATACATATACATACACAATATATTTTCTTATATTTTTAAATGGTAATAATATATGTATACATTATAAGAAATAAGTTTAAATATTACCATAAATCTATTTAATAATTTATCATATCTAAAATTCTTACTTTGATAATATTAACAATACCATAATTATTACATAAATTATCAACTATAATTTTATTATAATATCAATATGAATTATATGGCAATGAATATATATATATATATATATATATATATATATATATATATATATATATATATATATATATATACTAGTCTTTTCTATGCGTGACGCGCAAAAACATATGCCCAATATTTATATTTTTAAAAATAACTAACAAATTTTTACTAATTAAAATCTAAATGAAATAAAAATTATTTATTATATTAATTTCAATATATAATGAATATATAATGTCTTACAAATATTTTTATCATTAAAGAATAAAAATAAAAGATATGGTGGATGCATGTGCATGGTAAAAGTAATGAAAAAGATAACGGAAGTTATAACGGTAAGGGTATTTTTGTCAAAAAAATTGTATAGTACAACTGTAAAAGCACAATGTACAAAATGATTAGCATGAATAACATGGACATAAATGAGGGATATAACTTTAATTGAGACTTATTATGTTTTTAGATATAGGGTTGCATTAAAATACAAACTCCCTTAAAATACAAACTTGAGTTCATGCACACAGGGCGCACTGCCAACAATTTCTGGGATTAACTCGTGCACACGTTAACATACTTACATGTACACAGTGCGTAGAAGGAAAAAGCACAACCATTCATCAAAGTTCGTGCACACATTACCATATTTAGATGCACACAATTTGTATTTTAAGAAGAGTTTGTATTTGAAAATAATCATATATATATATATATATATATATATATATATATACCATTATTAAAAATATTTTAATATAACTAAAATTTTAGTATTGAACATAGGTTTTTGTGCATCACGTTGTTAATAATAAATTTGAAACCAAATTCATCCAATTTTTATTTTGGTGACCATACTCTTTGATTCGAAATATAATTTATGGAAATAATTGAATCAAATTATAATTTGATGACTGTATGCATTAATCATAATTTTATTATGCATAATAATATATTTTATATTTTGGCTTATTATTTAGAGAAAATTGTATTCTTGGTCCTCCAATTATATTCGAGGTATAGACTTAGTTCCTGAGTTATATGTTGACTATCTTTAATATTTAAATTATGCATGGAGTGATGATTTTAATTCTTGAAGGATCAAATCAATCACTTTATTAAATTAAAAAATGGTGGTAAAAATAATTCTCGAATGACTAAAATTGTCACTCCATGTATATCTTAAAAGTTGATGATTACGTGTATAATTCAAGGACTAAGTTTATATCACATATATAATTTTATGACCAAAAAATACAATTTTCCCTATTATTAAAGAATTAGGCGAATTTAAAATTTTTTAACAAAATTAACTGATAACTGATTCTTTTCTAAAACTTCAACTTAAAATTGCTAACGAAATCGATGTAGCTATTACAGATTAAATTAACTGAATTAAATCAATTAACCAAAATTATTCTAATTAATTGCAAAACCCTACATCAAAGGAGTAGAAGGAGACTCATAGCCTATGGAGGGTGTGATTGAGTGGAATGGGATTCATTCATCTTTAACCAAATGTTAAGAGTTTGATCCTTGGCTTTGGGTATGGAGCAACCTTAAATCTCCAAGCCAACTGTCCCACAAAAAAAAAGGTGCCTACAATTCAGGGAAGGGATTAGTCATTGTGTTTGGTGGAAATCCTAGGTACACCAAAAAAAAATAAAAAATAAAAAATGAATAAAGGTCAAATTAGCCACCGAGCGTAACGTGAAAATGCAATTAGACCACTCAACTAAAAAAAAGTGTAATTAGACTATTCAACATTGTCAATCACTCAAATAAGCAATTTGTCCCAAGTGACCTGCAGTGGCAAGTTACCAACAGGTGATTAGTTAAAAATTAAAAAAAGGTATCCGATCATCACCATGAATCTGGAGACTGAAGACAGCCATGGACGCAACGCCAACAATGAGAGAGAGAGAGGTCACCGGCCGGAAGCACCACTGTTTCGCCACCATCGAACTCTTCGCCTTCTCTCCCACCCAAAACACCGCCATCAGCACTACCACCCCCGAGCCGAGCCGAAGATCGAAGTAGCACCACCGCCATGACCGGACATCCTACTGCCGACACCGTCGCCATTCACCTCGCCGTCGCAACACCAATCGACGATTTGCAGAACACCCAAAGCTTCGTCGTCATGTTTCGACGAAACTGTGCTTCACCATCAGCACTACCACCCCCGAGCCGAGCCGGAGATCGAAGTAGCACCACCGCCATGACCGGACATCCTACTGCTGACACTGTCACCATTCACCTCGCCATCGCAACACCAATCGACGATTTACAAAACACCCAAAACTTCGTCGTCGTGTTTCTTAGAGTTCTGTCGCTGCCATTATTCTTGATCATAACGCCGTCCGCGTCCGCCGAGAAGCCTAACCTCGCCACTGTTGTCCCCTCTTTCGCTTCCAGATCCATGGAGACATGACAGTCTCTATGGATCTAGTGGTCTCCAACTGGTCATAGACCCCATATTTTTTTTTTTGTTTTAAAATTTTATTTCTTTTTAAAATTTTTAATTAATTACTTATTAATTTTATTTCTTTTTAAAATTTTTAATTAATTACTTATTAATAACCTAACGCTGCAAATCACTTGGAACAAAAGGCATGATTTTACAATGTTAGATTATCTAATTGTATTTTTTTTTTAGTTAAGTAGCTTAATTACGTTTTCAAGTTACTCATAACCTAACGCCAACACTTATCTATGATAAAACACATCTTTCAACCCATGATGATATGAGAATATATTTTCCAAAAAGGATGAAGACACCTTTGCCGCAAGTCCGCAACCACACTTCAGTGGAGGTTATACACTGATGCACATGGAACTCCCAATTCTCAAAGGTAAGCATTTTCACATCTCAAAAATATTTCCTCTCAAACAAAAATTCAAATTAACATTTCATAACCGTTACCCTAATTTTAATTTTTTTTTAAATTAAAAAAAAAAAAACCAAAATCATATTTTTCTATTTAATTAAATTATAGACTATTTTAAATAAAACTGAAAACAAAAAAAGAATAATATACTACACATAAGAAATGAAATATCCATTTAGTGTAATTAAGCCAAATACTAAGCTAGAAGAGTAGTAGTCGCAGTTGTAAGCCTATCGCAAGCTCTTTGTACCTCATGCCTTTCGTCTATAGTCATGTTATTGCCCTCTGAAGCCTGCAAACAAAACAAGAAATAAATCTGTTGGCATCTAACTGATTTAGACTACTAATAAAATGGCATATCACAAAACAGAGTAAGATCAACAAGCTTTTGTGCAAGGCGGCTAGGCATACCAGAAGAGCGACCATGTATTCTAGAATACTGTTGATTTCCGGCTTGCATGACGAGAGAACTCGCCTCATTTTAATATCGCTGTGCAAAAGCAGGAGAACGGACACGCTTGCCACGAGAGTGCTCTTATGGTTGATTTGTGGAAATTCGTGATGGTAAGACAATGGGGGCGAACGGTTTTCAGCCAATACTGACCCCATCTCTTTCAACACTTTACTTAATAGATTGTTGCTCCTTTGAAATAGGAAGAAGCAAGGAAGAAGATAATACTGACTTCTCTTTAAACTCAAGCTGGAATTCTGCTCATTAACTTCTCCTGGAAGATCCTACATCAATAGTAAGATTTTACTCTAGCAGTTAGACTTTACAATTTCAGTATATGTATTATTGATTACTTTGAATTCAAATTACTATTTTTTTTTAGTACTATTGACTCTATTACAAGGTAGAGTATCTGTTCTATACTTTTTCTATCCATTGCAGTTCAAAGACAATACCCCACCACGGGGATTCTATTCTGTGACCGACCTTCCCTCAAGGAGAGCCACAGAAGTGCCAACTGAGCAAAAGATGCTTGGCATAAATTACTATTATTAGGAGCTAATACTTAATTTAGCCCTCAACTATAGTTTTTCTCGATTTAGTCCTAAACATCTTTTTGTGCTTAATTAGGTCATCAACTTTGATTGTTTTACCCAATTGAATCCTATGTTAAAATAGTTTGGTAATTTCACGTCTATTAATGCCCAATTTAGTCCTCGACTTTAGTAGTTTTACCCAAGTTAGTCTTCGACTATATAGTGGTTTTACCCAATTTGGTCATCGCCTATAGTGATTTTTCTCGATTTAGTCCTTGATTCTAACAGCCAATGACTCAATTGGGGTAAAACCATCAAAGTCGAGGACCTTATTAAGCACAAAAAGACGTTTAAGATGAAATCGAGAAAAATCCCTTACAGTTGAGGACTAAATTGGGTATCATCAGCTAGCTAATTTAAAAGCATAACTAATTTAGCAGATCACAGTTAATGGAAAGGATTTATCTAGATAGGAAAAATACTAGACTGCAAGGAATGCAATACAAAGAACATCAAATGCAATTATTTAGCATCATGTGTGGCCAAGACAGGTGAAAAGAGAATTGAAGGAAGTAAATAATATTTAATACTTACAGATGCAACATCTAGTAAATATTTTGGAAGGACATGGCTGAGTTTGTCGATGCTCGGTTCTGAAAGTTTTGTTGGTGCAGTGTCTATTGCAGTAAGTATCCTTAGAAGAGCATTCATGTTATCTACTGGTGGGCTAAGAAACTGAAACAAATAACAAGATGTTATCTCTAGTAAAATGTTATAGAAAATATCATGAATCTGAATAAACACACTTACAAAACACTTATATTCTAATGGAATGAGAAGAAAAAGTTCCCCAAAGTGCACGAAAAATTAAAAGGTAAGTTGGGGAATAATATAAATTTAGTATAGAATTTAAGCAGACCACGGTTAATCTCAACTCACAATCTGATCAGTAATTACTCTCTCCACCATCTGGAAAATAAAACAGTTATCACCAATCTGTGACAAACAAGAACAAACTGCACTAGTAAGCGACCGAAAGGATGCACGGATTGATTTCCCCTCATGATTATCTGCAAAGGATCCAATTGATTGGTTTAACCATTAGCAAAATTGCTGATTTGGTGTTAAAGATAAATTTAATATCCAAACTTGGATAACACAATTAAGAAATTACCAGGATAAGCATGGAGACGTGAAACCAAAGTGATCAGAAAACTAATGTAATCTGCAATCTGGATGTGTCCTGCTTTATAGGCTGTGTGCAGAACTTGTAAAATACGAAGAACTAAAAATGGTTCAAGTTCATGAGCTGCAATGATGTGAGAAGAAAAGCAGAATGTTATACAATATTAACTAACTATTTGTAGTTCTAGCTCATGGTTGGTCTTATCTTCCATACTTGTTAACTACATGTTGAAAATGAATTATAAATAAATAAACAAGTTTTTAAAGAAACAACTTTCTTCTATGTAAATTGGTTGCCTTTTTTCAGATTCCCCTTAATTAAACCATGTGAAGATTAAATAAGATATTTTACTCCCAACATTATGGACGGCTAACATTTTATACCATGCCATTAATAAACAATGGTAGTAGTGTAATAATGAGAACCGAGAAGTTCCATAAATGAAAATTGTGGCATACAGATGGGGACTACTTACACAGGCAACATGAAACCAATGACTGAAGTATTGTTGAGTCCAAGATAGAGAAGTAATATAGGCAGCAGAGGGAAAGTTCTTGAATATCTCTAGAAAGCATCATGAAAGGGCCATAGCTTACACCTCCTAAGGTCAACGAAATACTGTTAATTGGAAGCAATAGATATGAATGAATCGGGAAACAAAGAATACTCAGGTTGGAATCAGAATGAGGAGCTGTCCTAACCTTCATTGCAAGTTGTGCTATAAAAACCTCGTAGTATGTACTGCATCTCATCATATTCCTTTGCAAATGGGGAGTCAAACTCGGCCGTTTGTCCTATGCGAAGTTGAAGACGCAACACAGTCTGGATAAAGCAAACCATACTATTAAGGAGAAAAAAGATGACAATTGAAGCTAAAGATAGTGACACGTAGACTGCTTGTCCCTCTTTAATTTAGACAAGCCTCCAGAGTTAATGAGAGCAAGGCCAATATGTACCTTAGAAGATAGTGGATGTTTATCACCTAAAACAATTAGCAGAGAAGGAAGCTCCCTTATCCAAGTAATCTGATAATGTAGCAGTTCTGGATCACTTGTATCCAGGTAAAGCCAATCATGTTCCTAAAATTTGTACAGGGAAGTTGAGATTAGATTCACACTTAAAACATTATTAGCAACTGATTGATTAAATGTGTTTTGAGATTCTAGAATTAATGATGTCATTTTACAGTTTCACACCTCCAAGAAAAGGAAAGGAAAAAAGAAAAAAGGGCATATTGCTGCTATCCAACATGTTTCTGCAGAATATGATAATTTAATGAAAAGCATCAAATCACTATCCCTATGTATTGTTTAGTTTACATAATAAAAAGTATACAGTAGCAGACAATTTTTGCAGAAACACTCAAAGAACACAACTGAGACCACAAGGAATCTTACAGAGAACATCATTTCTTCAATTGCAGAAAGGCAAGCTAATTTCATCAAAGACTCCGGGCTGCAACTCTTGAAAGCCTTAGTAAAAGCCTGCAATGACAGTACAAATTACGGAGTATAACTTTATGAATAAAATGCAACATTTTACAATATATACCAAGGATTTGTACTACCACATCCCTCTATCACAAGGATCTTCGGATCTTATCACTCTTTAGAAACAGATAGACAACTAAGCATAAAAGAACAAGTTTGGTCTAAAAACCTCAAGAATGCGAGACTTCCAACAACCAGAAACTCGCATAATAAGTTCTGGAGTGAATGACACCAATGCAAGCAATTGCTTTTCATGAATCACCTTACTAGACTCCATGTGGTGGCAAATCTGCATAACATGAGCAGGCTGTTACGATATGTGCAATATAAAGCACTACCCAAACATTCCATATCAACTTATCAAGGATGTTTTCAAGATCTAATTGAATTGTGAAAGAAAATATAAGGAATACCAATAAAAACACAGGAGGGAAAACTTAAAACTTTCTGATATTGTAGAAATGCATCATTAAAGAGCATAACACGTAAAGATAGCATTCAAGCTTGAAATGAATCTGCATATGAGATACCAATGGTTCAAACATATGTTTCCATTTCTCAAACCATAAGAGATAAGATGCAAATATTTTCTATCCATTTATTTAATATAAATAATGAATATAAAACATCCAGGATGACTATTAGTACACGAATGAGTTTAATCATTTAAAAAAAATCATAACTGAACCTTTTCAGAAAGTGAAATTTCAATGAACTCAAGGAATTTCTCCATCAATGCAGGGGGAGGGTGGTCCCAATGACTTATCTTCAAAAATATTTCTGTAATTACAATATTCAACTTGAAATAACGATCATTTTCCTGCAATGCCAAAAGTAGAAGAAATCAGAGGAAATAATGGCACCAGAAAAGTGAACAAGGAGAGAGACAAAAGCAACTGCACGTTCAATGTTATCATCATTTGTGATTGTATTTCTTATTTCTTTTCCTTTAATGGGTGTGTGTGTGTGTGTGACCGAGTGTGAGAGAGATTCCACGACAATTCATCCAGTCTTTTGTTTTTTTTTTTTTTTTTCTACTTAAACAACTAAAGTTTGCATATTGATAGTTGGATTACAACGAGTTATCAAGTGCATTATCTCATAGGAGTTAGGAGCTATGTCATATCTTTGTCCTAACCTAATATATTAATGATAAATTTCCTGCTTAATTTCCTAGAACTATTCAAGGGTTGGTTTGAGGCAGGAAGTCTTTCACTTGCATGCTTGAAATTTTTATGGAAAAATAAAATTTATGTTTTGGCAATTGGCACAAGTACGAGTAAGGAAAACATGTTTTTTGCAAAGGCTTGCTATAGCACATGTTTAAGGGAAGTGACCAAGAACTTCTCATAGTTTATGGAATTCATGCTACCCGAGTTCAAGTAGCAAACTAGCAACATCAAATGTAAAGACTTGAAATTCGGACTTTAACAATGAAAGTGAAGGCAGAAATAAGATTAGTGGAGAAAGGCCAAAAAAGCATTTTAAATCCCACAAGATTTGGACAAACTGCAGATGCAACTTCTTGCATTTCAAGTCCATCAGTAAATGGTTCAAATATTAAATATATACTTCATAGTACCTGCTTCTCTAACAAATTTTTTTTCTTGTTGTATTATCTCCTTTTTCTAGCATAAAATACAAACAGAAACTGTTCTCGTTTTCAATAGGAAATCATACCTTCTTTGAGAGGTCATGAGTTGGATTGAAAGGAAACTCATCCCAAAGCTTTTTGAGTGCCAGCAGTGAAATTCTTTGATCAGATATGTTAACATGTGTGTGATGGTAAGGAGATTCAAGAACAAAGAATCTGACTAGAAGATCTATGTTTTGAAGTATAAGTAGCATACAATCATAGGACTGTGTGTCCATTTGGGGCATGTTATGAACCAAGGGACTGAAGTCCTGGAAACAACTAACCAGAGCAGGTAAGAGATTCTTCAATTTCTCCACAACACCAGAACTAGAAAGCCCTACAGAGAATATGAGAAAGGTTAAGTACTTCAAAATTCTTATCCACAACGAACACTTAAAACCCTATTTGTTTGATATGAAACAACAAGGGAACGGGATGAGATAAAGGGGCAATCCAATTAACAAACATAAAATTTCAGATCAGAGCACCAGTCTCCCTCCCTCATTCACAAAAATAGGAAGATGAGAGAATGCATATAAGAGAAGAGGGGGGAGGGGAGAAAGAGAGAAGTGGGGAACCAAACATAGGGAAGAAAGTCAAGAAACTGGTAAGATTGTCATGGTACAATAATTTTTAATTTGCAGAGATTGTAAATAAAAATAGTAGCAAAGGTATTTTTTACTGACCAGAGGAATCACTTGAAATGTCAGGAACAAAAGCGTGCAATGTCACTTGAACAGGAATATCCTGCAAAAGTTTAATTTGACCATTTGGAAGACAGAAGAATAAATAAATTACCAATGAGCACAACTTTGGCCAACTTTAACATATAACAACCTTTGAACAGAGCATCTTGCTCCAGTCACAACAGCATAGAGAATGTGTTAAGAGTAAAGAACAGGAAAAAAGATAACAGAGAGATAAATTGGTTTATTGGACGGGGAAGGGATATAAGGTTGTCTCTAAGACACCTCCAACAAGAGTATTAGGCTCTTGTCCAGCTATAGCTATGCTAGAACTTAGGAAGATTATTCGATGCCCTCCTCTCTTGAGGAGGTTACAATTTATACCGCAATGCAGAAAATAAATATAGTAAAGGGAGAGAATTGAGAAGCTGATTTATCTCTGTTAGGTTCCATGATTTAAGCTTGTCCCTTGATCAGTGTGTTGATTGTTTTGATTTGCCTGATTTGCTGTCCAGATTTCCTGATTTCCTAATCCTGTGTTGATTCCCTTTTTTTTGCGTGAGTAAACCACCCATTCCCTTGGGTGTGTATCAGAATGGAAGTAACAAGCCCAAGGGATATGATCAATAAAAACAATAGAACTAGCATAACTCCCCCAAATTTTCACACAGAATAAAGAATAGCAAACCCAATAAAATAATCTTATTTAATGCATTTTAAAGACTAAAATAGAACATATTGATACTGTCGCAACAGAGATTGGCAATGACAATAGCTCAAGGCCTATCAGCCTATCAATAACAACTGCAGTTTAATCCTTAATGCATATCAAATATTAAAATTGACACAAATCCCTACAGACATAGCATATTGCTCCAGTCTTAACTCACAACATAGAGAATGGCAATAACAATAGCTAGAGGGAAACCAGAAACACTCAAATAACTAACAAAACCAATCCACCTCATCACAAAATTATATTTATAAAATAAAAATAAAAATAAAAAAACCTAAACAATTTTGCACAAGTCTCTTTAATTCATTTTGAATATTTAAATAAACATAAACAATCCTCATTAAATTAATGCTTTAGTACCAAACGTTAAAAAATACGGAGTAATAATTAAACTAGAAAGGGTTCATACTTCATAGCACATACCTTCTTATCTGACAAGTCACCAGCACTCCTATTTTTGAATGGTAACAGTGATAAACAACGAACCAACCCAGAAAGACCAGTCTTTATCTTTCCCTTGTCTTGCAGGAAAAATTTGTTTTTCTGCAAAATATCTCCGTAATTTTGGAGAATCTATAAATTTACAGTTGAAAAGAAAAAAAGGTCAGAAAGATGAGAACAATAAACATATGGAGAAGAATATAAGGTTGAACACAATCATCAGTAAGAACCAAGAAAACGAAGCAACCCTAAAAGACTGTGTAATAACATTATGTATTGGTAACAACCGAAAAGCAACAGTAAGTCCGATACAGGAGCCCCCAAAAATGAACAATAAAGCATAAACAAACAAAGATGTATGTATTATGTTTCAACAACTAAATCAGGCAAGATTACTTTATTGACTATAGTTTGCAAGTCTAAATTAAAATTGAAGGTAAGGCACCTTAATGTATTTGAACTATACTCGTACATGCAGTAGACAAGGAAATGCATCAACGAATTCGCCAGTAGCAATTAAAAATGTATGAGCAAATCCATTCACTTAAAGAGAAGGTTCATCAACCTTTTCTGCGTACATGGAAAATGTAGATGGATAATTCTGGATGACAAGGTCAAGAAATTTGAAAGCCATTAATCGCACTTCAATTGCTAAATTTGTCATTGCGCTGAATATGTACACCATTATCAAGGATATAAATGGCCCCTTGCCATCCTGGAACAAGAGAAGAAAATGTATAGCTGCTGTTGATTTATTCAAAATATAATGAGATAAACTATATGAAATAAATTGAATACATTCTTGCGCACAGCACTCACTTAAATCATAGCAACCACACTATATGTTCAGTGATTATCATAATGAATACTACTCCTGAATTAACTAGGGAACTACAAAAGCACATTCGAGAATACCTCTACACATCCAGGAAAAATAACTGACTTGAAGAGTTGATATAGTGTTTCACGAACCAACTTATCATCATCACTAATCCGTTCACGCAGTTTCTCTATAACAGCAAGTTTGTGCAGCTTCAGTTCAACTGGGTATTTAAGAAATATATCCTTGATTCCAACCAATGCATCTGAGATGAAAACACATAATTATGTAAACTTCTACTGAACTCATAAACGAGGTCGAAAAACACTCATCCAAGATGCATTTAGCTTAGTCTTATGATCAATTGTTTTTCAAGTTGAAGTCTCCTCACAAGTTAAAATGTCATATGGGAGTACCTTTACGGACTCTAGCATTGTGATGACTTGTTTGCTGAAGAAGCTCCTTCAGGGTTAACCCTTTCTTACTCACAGCTAAACCTGCCTTCTCAAAAGCTACACTCTGCTCGGGAAGAACAATCGCTGTTCATGGAGTTGGAACACACAATAACAGTTTCATCAACTACTTCAGTAGCCATTGCCACTTATTATGCTAGTCCAACGAGCTCAACATAATTTAACATTTTTGGCAGCAAATACTACTTGTAAACACATAATAAGCTTTCTCTTTAATATATATATACATACATATATATATATATATATATATATATATATATATATATATATATATATATATATATATATATATATATATATATATATATATATATATATATATATGTTACCTTTGGATTTGATTTCCGTGTTAGTAGAGTTCTTGGGCGGGGGCAATTTTCGACCAACTTTTCTTCTTATTTTCTGAAAAACCAAAATCAAAAGAAAATGTTGCATTTGCGTATAAACAACTGACCAATCAGCAATATGCTTGAAATCCCAAACTTCTAAATTGAGCGAGCAAATTGAAAGAAATACTTTGAAATCAACGCCGCGCTTTTGCTGCTTCTTTGATTGAGCTTTAGACTTCACCATCGTGGTAGAGATTCTGAGATTTCAGCTGTCCAGGATTGGGAATTTGGATGAAGTGACGATATTATGAGAACAGAGGGTAATGTGGGTTTAGGGTTTAAGGAACAAGTTATTCCACAATTAATAGTTAAAAATTCTAATGTAGTAATGTGCAATACTACATAATTCCAAATCAAAAAATAAATAGAAAATTACACTTGAAAAAGTCTAAATATAAAATATAATAATCTCACAAGTCCAAAATAAAGTCTCCAAAGATACAAAGATACTAATTTTCCAAATGTCAAATTGTCAATGCCAAGTCTAAACAGTAAACACACAATACAAACACACTGCCAAAGCGCCAAACTCCAGAATTAATTTTCAAATACTAACAAGTATTCAAGTAACAACAGAGTCCATTGTATGAAATATGTAAAAATTTAATGTATGAAATCCGAGAGCCTTAGCAATGCAGCGTATAATGTACGAAATTCCTTCAAATTTTAATATGAAAAAAAAAAAAAAAAAAAAAAAAAAACTTTACCTTAGATGATTGTATGTATGTGTGTGTGTGTGTGTGTGTGTGTGTGTGTGTGTGTGTGTGTCTGTACGTATGTACGTATGGGTTAAGGTGCGGGTATATTTTTTCATGGAGTAGTGGTCTCCAACTGGTCGTAGACCCCATATTTTTTTTTAAACAATTTTTTATTTCTTTTTAAAATTTTTAATTAATTACTTATTAGTAACTTGCTGTTGCAAATTACTCGGGACAAAAAGCATGATTTTACAATGTTAGATTATCTAATTGTATTTTTCTTTTTTTTTTTTTTAGTTAAATGGCCCAATTACATTTTCACGTTACTCATAACCTAAGTGGCTGAGGGGCGAGGCTGAAGATGTGAGGACTGAAGAGACAGGGCAGGGCGCAGGGCGTGAGGAGTGACCGCCTGACCGGAGTGTCGCCAGCCGCCGAGGATGGAGGCCGGAGGAGGGCGTGAGGCGCAGAGGACCGTGGAGATATGTTCGCGCGTCGTCTGGGATACTCTATTTTGTGTGTTTTTTGTTTTGTATTGGGCTTCTGCCTTTTGGATTGGGTCAAAACATTAAATGGGCTAATGGCAGAATGAATCGGCTGACTGACAGTATTTGATATATATATATATATATATATATATATATATATAGGGACGGAGCCAGGATTTATCTTGAGTGGGGGCGAAGAAGCAAAGGGAAAATAAACTTAAAAAATGTTTAAATACGAGATTCAAATATAAATAAGATTGTTAAAATACAAAATACATTATAAATTATAGGGTACAATACAAGATTTATGATGAACTACGGAATATTAACATAAAGAAACTAAATGGTACTGCTTGCACTTGATAAACAATAAAACATTATAAAACTTTAAAGCAATATTCCTTGTTAGTGGTCAAAAGAATTTGGAGGAAAAAGAAACAAATGCCATTCATCTCTAATCTCTTCATGTACTGGAAAGTGGAAATCAATTAACTTCAATTCAGTGCCTTTCAAGTTCTTCAGAAATCACATTGCCAAAAAGCTTGGTAACAAATTAAAACTCCAACAATAGGCTACCATATTTCAATTTTCATGGCACCCAAAGAAAATGCAGAATCAGTAGTTTTAATTTGCAGATGCAGCAAACAATAAATCCACATATACAAGAAGTATAAGGTCTATGAAAAATAGAATTTCTTCTAGCAACCCAACATTCATTTTTTCAAAGGTTTAATTTCATTCTATATAAAGAACAAATCTTTCAATAAAAAACCAGCAGCATTAGGATTTAGAGCAGTCCAGTCCAACAGCATAAATTAAACCAACAGTTCAGCAACCATTCAACAAACAATTCAAATATTCAATAAACAAAATTATTAAACCAGCAGGGCAAATTTAGGATTTAGAGCAGACAAGCAGTAATTCAATAAACAATTCACCAATTCAACAAAGAAAAATAGGGTAAAATTACGATTTAGGGCAAAATCAAGTGAACCTGGGCAGTGTGCAGACGAGAATTAAGTAAATTAAGCAAACATGCTAACAAATTGAACAAGGAGTGAGAACTGAGAAGACGAGAAGTTGAACCTGGCAACTGGCGAGGCAGAAGACGGTGGCGACGACTGGCGTCTGGCGAGGCAGAGGCGATTGGGACGGGCGAGGAAGAGGCGCCGTCTGGTCTCTGGTGGACTGGTGGTGGCGAGTGGTGAGCGATGGCGAGTGGAGAGCGGTGGCGAGGCAGGCGCAATGGCGACTCGGCGAGAGCAGAGAAGAAGGAGTCTCGTCGTCTCGCGTGCGGCGTCTCAAAGCGACATAATGAAAGTTAAAAAAAAAAAAAATTATATATATAACAGCCCCAAAACGACGTCGTTTTGGGGCTGTCTAATTTTGGGCAGTGAGGGCAGCTATATATACACTTAGTCGTGGGCTCGCACTTTGCGCGAAACACCATGCTCTATAGTCAATTAATGTGTTTTAATTTTATTTTATTTTATTTTTGTTTTTTTTGAATGTAATAGAGCCAGTAGCATTCAAAAAAAAAATGTGTTTTAATTTTTAAATAATGATAATATATATAAATATTAATAATTGTTATATGAAAAATTAAATGTATATATAAATACATTATATACATAGCAACATGGTATAATTATAATTCGAAACATTACCATAACAAATTAACAATACATCATTAATAATAAAATATTTTATATAATATATAGAGTATTTTTAGTATTACGACAAAGTTAAACATTACTAACACATAATTCATTAATTCAATGATCGAATATATTTTTAGTGGACATTAGTAGACAATTCATTAGTAGCGGATGTTTTAAAATTTTCATATTCTAAATGAGGGTACAGAGAGTTTGTTTAAGAGATATATTTATGAGAATAACATAAAAAGGAATTTTAACACAAAGAATATACAATACATAAACATGTTATTTCACCTATCATTACCAGGACTATGTGGTCCAATGGTATCCGGGTTGGACTTCTATTTGGAAGGTTGTGATTTCGAGCCTCAGTGAAGTGTTATTAGCTCTTTGCTCTTTGTGTTTCAGTAGGTTGAGAAAGTATATGAACAAATACTACAATGTAATAGAGCTAGTAGCATTCAAAAAAAAAAAAATATTTCACCTATCATTAAATATTTTAAAATTATAATGTTGATCATTATAATTTGATGTCATACTGGTAATCAAATTTCAGGAAAAAAAAATAGTTATTTGTAATAATCATAGCATCAAAGCAATAAAACTTTCACATTAACATGTGTGATAGATATTGTAGTCATTCAAAATATTACATTTTGACAAGTTTTTCAAAATATTTGTGTAATTTCAATTCAAAGTCTATTAGTGAAAGGACTTTGAACCAGAATTACAAAGCATCAAATTAAGGACAAACTATTTTTTTCAAAGAAAAAATTGGAATATTTGATGTTGTCAAAAGAGCAAAAATATGATAGATATTTGGCCATTGTTTGCCATACAGCTAAAGTTCAAAATAGATAGATGTTAAGTGAGAGAATTATCCAAGCTTGAGCAATTTGGATTTTTCATTAGTAATGTCATCTTCTAAATTTGAATCTTCTAAATCAGCAAAAGCATTTGAAGGCTGATTTGAAATTGAGTCTTCATAGATCAGTTTTCTCTTGAGCCTTTTCGCCATGGTGATTAACTTTTCTTCCAGTAGAGATATAACAGAATACTTAATTTGCTCACTTTCCCTAAAATTTTGTTTTCTGCATAGGAGTTCTACTTTGAATGTTTTCTTGCTCAACTTCTCTTTAATGTTTTGTAGATCAACAGTCTCATTCTACAAGAAGAAAGAAAGCACAATAATCAAATATAAATATAGTCAATCTATTAACACACTCAATATCATTATTATGAGTAAAAGGCTAACTTTCTTGTCCGTGTCTACCAATTTAGTGACAGAGAGTGAAAGTAACTCCTCTACAATGTTTCAAAAGAGTGTAGACTCAAGTGAATCATTGGTTTCGGTAAGTTCAATGCCCATCATACACCTGCAGTATATATATTCCAAAGAGTGCAGACTCAAGTAAGTCATTATTTTCGGTAAGTTCAATGCTCATCATACGCCAGAGGTTTATATATATATATATATATATATATATATATATATATATATATATATATATATGTATATATATATATATATGTATATATATATATATATGTATATATATATATATATATATATATGTATATATATACATATATATATATATATATACATATATATATATATATATACATATATATATATATATATATATATATATATATATATATATATATATATTATAGCAATTAGGGATGTAATGAATTAAAAAACAGAAAATTTACCTTGATTTTGCAATTGCTTTTGAGTTTCTACAATGTGAACACTCAAATTCATCACTCAAATTATGTGCAATTCCTTTCCAACAACCATCACATGCAATGTAATAGAAGTCTTTACCTTTGTCGAAATTTTTATACTTGCATAGATGCAATATCTCTTCCCCTTAAAAAGAGAAATGATAAATTTAAGAACCAAATAAAAATGTGGTTATATCTAAAATCATAATATGTTCTAATACAAATTATATCCTTGATTTTTGTCCATTTTTTATATGCTAATAAATATATACATTTTGCTTTAATTGTTGTACATTTCATTTGTATTTGACAAAATCACCCTTACACCATTATAACATCATTAGTATTTAATATATCCAACAATCTTACCATACACCAACATCTATCATATCTTTTTTCTATTTTTAATTATCATTTTATTAAAATTATCATATAATAATTAATTTAATTATAAATTATATTTTAATTAAATATTTATATGAATGTTAAATTATATATATATATATATATATATATATATATATATATATATATATATATATATATATATATATATATATATATATATATATATATCTAAAAACATAATAAGCCTCAATGAAAGTTATATCCTTGATTTATGTCCCTCTTTTTGTATGCAAATAAATGTGTACATTTTACTTTAAATGTTGTACATTCCAATTTAATTAGACAAAACTATCCTTACACCGTTATAACACCATTATAACACCATTAGTTTTTAATTCTAACTTTAATAACACATCATTATTACCATACACCTAAATCTATCATATCTTTTTCCTATTTTTAATTATCATTTTATTAAAATCATTATATATTAATTTAATACTTAATTATATTTTAATTAAATTTCTATGAATGATAAATTATATATGTGTGTGTACAAAATACATATATTATTTGTATATATATCATTCAATTTATAATTTTTAATTATCTGAATTTATCAATGTTTTAATATTGGGCATGAATTTTCGCGCATCGCGCGTACACAATGCTATATATATATATATATATATATATATATATATATATATATATATATATATATATATATATATATATATATATATATATATATATATTGTGTGTGCGCGTGTTAGCTTAGTATTATTTGTAAATTATTATTATATAAAAATATTTTATTTTTTTTTGTTTTGATCACTATATTATCCAAATATATGATAATTCAAAAGTATCATCACTTTAAGGAATTGCAAACAATAATTTTAATTAATTTTTAAAATTTTGTTACTTAACAATATTTTAATATTGGGCATAGGTTTTTGCACATTGCATGTACAAAATGCTAGTTATAATATATGTTGGAATATATATTTAAAAGCATAAATATAAAGAAAAATAGTTAACCTCGATACTTGAACTCTTAACATTTGAAATGGTGATAAATTGTTCCTTTAACAAATCGGGAAGCTTTAGATATGCATCATTGAATGCATTGGTCAAAATAAGTGAATGCAACGTGACAGAATTTGATAATGCCCTGTTTATTGAATAGATAGCTCAATATTATGTGGAATAAGGATGCATACTTTATTTTAAAGAAAAAAATTATAGTATCATTGACCAAGTTGTTCTGCTTTAGGTGTTGCAATATCAAAGTCAATTACAGAACCATATCGGGTTGTCAAGGAGAGAACTAATAAGAGTACTTCAAATTATTTTTCAAAAATGACTAAGTGTAAAAATAACTTTCAAAATGAAATAGAGTATTGTATACACACCATTGTAGTTTGTCACCTCAATCTTCTTTGCGAAAATTACAGGAAAATTGACTGCTGCAAGTTGTTTCTCTAACTCTATTCCTTGTCCTTTTGCATATTTTCCCCAAAGAGTAAAAATCACTGGTTTCGCCTTGACCATGACCATTAACCAAAACTAATTATATGTATGAATTTCATATATAGTATCAATTAAAGCATCGATTATGATTTGTTAGTAATTAAAAGTAGTAAAATATTACAAAAACTCATTGTTCATCAACCAACACGATATTTGCAGCATCAATTTTTCTGTTTTTTCGAATCAATATGCTTCCTTGGCAACTTGTGTATAACAACAGCCATAACACCTAAATTTTATTAAAGTAATAGTTAAAATAAAATGAGAGTTCTGCAATTGCATTACGAAGAATAAAGTTTGTTACAAAAAAGTGTAAAACATACTGATTTTTTGCTCTGTATTAATGTACTTGTGAAAATGATAAAATGAAATCTCATCTATTTCTAGTTCTTGCATAACTTTGGAGTCCATCATCATCAGGAACAACAGCTACAGTACATTTTCTAGTTAAAGTCCAGAGGTAGTTGTATCTTTCATCCGGAAGCACAAGCTTTCCTCTAGGAATTGATACAATTGCATCTGTGATAATATATGTTGCATTCAAACTTAACTTATTATCAAAGATGTCAATTTCATTTGCATACGTCATTGCCTGAACTTTGTAGCCCTTAAAAGAACGTAAAACAATTTTTTTTAAAAAATAAATAAATCAATAGACTCAATACATGTAGTTTGCAACATAATAGTCATACTATAAACAAAATAAATAAATTAAATGTAATAGAATTACTCACTGCTTCATCTTGAAGAATAATTGGTCTGTACTTATTACCCGGCGTGGTTTTGGAGTCTTGGGCATCCAATTTGTTTACAACACATACCTTACAAGAACAATCTTGTTTTCCAGGGGATACATCAGATATCAACAATCTTCTCACCATTCTGGTAATACATACATAAGAATTTATTAATTGTTAGCCATTATTTAAAATAAGATATTAAAGAAAAAAAAAACATAAAACAAATATTGGAGAGTACGTACTAACACAACAAAAAAAAAAAAAAAAAGGCTCAAGTGTCAAATTGCACCATGAACCAATTGCGATATGTCATGCCGCACCCTGATCTTTCATAAGTGATGATTCGATCCATGAACTAAAATTTTTTATCCATCTAGCCTTTTTTACAAGTTTCCATGTTGTCTTGATGACATGGCACCGGTAACCGCTGATGTGGACTTATTTTTCTTTTTAGTTAGTCTTTGGTCAAATAAACTGATTAGCTGTCTTCTATCCATCCTTGCCGTCGGCTTACCAGAGCTTCAGCTTCAACATCGCGACCAACAAACTGTGCCAAAGACAAGCTATCTTGGGGGGTTCAGTACGACCACTGAGCTGGGCAATTCTTTCCACCACCCAAACCTTAGTTCAAACCTAAGCTAAGTATAGAAAGGAATAATGAGGTTAACAGAGAGATGAGATTTCTTGAAAGGGTGGTTGCCACTCTTTGATTTGCCAATGATTTCTCAATTTTTGCCAAAAAGGAATCAACATCCCTTTCATCCTTCTCCCAAATTGGGGAAAATGCAAGAGACCAGAAGAGCATGAAAAGTAGTTCTTTCGTATCTTAATTCATGCTTGGTTCTGAATTCTTTGTATTTTTCTTGGATATTATGCTTTAAAATTTCTGTGATTACTGGGAAATTAAGGAAGTAACTTGTTTGTTTGCGATTGAGATGGACCGAGCCCGTATCTTGGCGGGGCGACCCTGATCTGTACCCCGGTTGTTCGCAGCCATGGCAGCATTGGCTCCTCTTTCCCAGTTTACTGATTTGCTTGCCGGATCATATCAGATCACCACTGCTGCATTTTTTTTTTTAAATTTTAAAGAAAGAAGAATAAGAAGAAAATTCAGAATATTATTTTATTGTTCTAGCTTCAAGATTCTGATGTCCTTTCCCCCAACACTCCAGCGTAGCAGGCGTAGAAGAAGTAGCAGGTCGGCAGTCTGGGTGGAAAGTAGCAGCGGCGACCGGTAGCGGTGGCGACAAGCAGAGCAGATCGTAGGCGATGGCGGGGTGCTCGACTTCATGGTTCCTCTCCTCGTCGAGGGCGACAGCTGGAAGCAGAGCAGGCTGGCAACTTTCGACGGTGGCAGAACTCAACAGTGGCGTGGCTGGACCTTTCTTCCGGCCTTCCTCTTCACTCGTCGAATGAATGGCTGGAAACTTATATTTTGGATTATTCAATTAAAGTACTAAAATGGCTGCCACATCTACAAAACAAAACACGTCACTGCCAAATCACCTCCATATCACTAAGTTATTACCTATAACTTGAAGGTTACCTGTAAAAAAGGCTAGACGGGCAAAATTTTTTAGTTTATGCATCGAATCATCACTTATGAAAGATCAGGGTGCGGCATGACATATTGCAATTGGTTCATGGTGCGATTTGACACTTGAGCCAAAAAAAATCATGTAGTTCATATATAGGGAAACTCATTTGTGTGAACTTTTTATCAATCCCGGTCTGAATGCACTGTAAAATTTCAGGATACACAATGCTATATGTTATATTAGTGGTGCTCTAGTCATCAATGAATATGGATCATTGAAAAAGTTGTTTAAGTCTGGATAGACTGCTTTAAACAAAACATCAAGTGAAGATTTTTGTTGTTGACATTGGAGGAGGAAAGAATTTGGAATTTTAATCTTGTTATCAACTAGAGTCTGCTCAGTTCCATTTCCAATGCGCATCAAATAATCTGAAAATCCTGGGTCTGATCTGGCACGCATGTTTTCATCTAATTTCAAATGTTGAATTTTTTGTCATATTGATGGTGATTTTACCAAACTTGCTTCAATGAAGTCTTCTCTCTCCCCACCCCTAATAACTGGCAATGTTTGACGAAAGTCACCTCCAAAAACTACAACCTTTCGTCCGAAAGTGTCATCTGAATTCATTAGATATCGGAGTGTTACTTCAAGGCTCTCAACACACCTACGATAGGCCATGGAAACTTCATCCCACAAAATCAACTTGCTATGCCTTAGCAATTCAGCCCCTGCACTCTATTTGCTAACATTACACACATATCTATTATCCCCATCAATAGGAATCTTAAACCGAGAATGAGTCGTTCTACCACCCGGTAAAATTGGAGCTGCAATACCTGAACTCGCTGTGGCAAGTGCAATCCATCCTTTTGACCGAACCTTTGCCAATAAACATCTATAAAGAAAAGTTTTTCTTTAAAAGTTTTTCCTGTTCTACCAGGGCCATCAAGAAAAAAAAAACTCCACCAAAATCTGAATGTACAGCAGTCATAATTTTATCAAAATTCAATCGTTGTTAGGTCTGTTAACGAACCGAACATAAACGAACGGAGGTTGTTCGTGTTCGTTTGTTAAGGAATTTGGAGTGTTCGTGTTCGTTTGTTAAGGTTTTTGAAAATCCTGTTCGTGTTCGTTTGTTAAGCGTTTGTTAGTGTTCGTTAACGTTCTCGAACACGTTCACGAATGTGTTCATTAACGTTAACGAACATGTTCGCGAATGTGTTTGTGTAACGTTCATGAACATGTTCGCAAACGTGTTCGTTAACGTTAACAAACACATTCACAAACATGTTCAGTAAGAAGCGCGTTCACGAACATATTCATTTACGTTCATGAACACTTAATAAACAAACACATGCACATGTTCATGATCACAATTCGTTCGTGAACAATAAATAATTTACGTTCACGAACAATAATCAAACAAACAACACAACTACAAAACTAATATAATATAATATAATATATATGTTTGTGAACATGTTCACGAACATTATTAAACGAACACAAACGAGCTTGTTCACGATCTCTTAACAAACAAGCTTAAAAATGTTCAAGCTCTGTTCGTTTATTAACCGAGCTCTAAATTTTGTTTGTTAATGTTCGTTTACCTTAACAAACGAATGCTTACCGAACACGAACACGAGTAGTTTGCCGAAAGCTCTGTTCGCTAACACCCCTAATCGTTGCATATTGTTTAATTTGTCAATACAATGCAAGTCATGCTCGTTGACTCCCAAGTTTCTTTTTGCCTCAATTTCTTTATATTGTCTTTGGGAATCAGAGAGATAAATATCAGGATCAACTAAGTTAAAATCAGTAATTTTTCTGCCATTTTTTTCTAGTAAGTTCTTCACAAGTTGAAGTACCTTGATTTCAGCTTCAGACTCAATATATTTAGCTGAGTGAATAAATCTTGACAAAAGAATTCCTTACATTTATTCCAAAACCTTACTGGATCAGGTAAATCACAGAAGACTAATAGAGTTGCAAATAACTGTCTCAAACTTGTTGGCATTTGAGACAAAATAGCTTCCTCAATACAACTCTCTATGCTAGAATCACTGGATAACAACCCCAATTTTTCAGCAACCTCTCTAAAGGTCTCTACCCTTTGTCCTTTTATTATTTTCGAACTGCAAAATGAAGTCGGAGCCCTTACATTCATTAGCAATACTCTTAAATAATAACGCTCACCTTCTGATGGCATAACTGATACAAGTCTTCTAATTACCTCTCTTTGTTTCCTTTGATGCCAACATTTATCATTCAATGACCAAACAAAGAATTCTGGAAACTCAAGATATAATAGGTTAATTTGTTTTGCAAGTTCATCTACTTTGTTCATGTAGAAAAATTGAGTCAACATTGTGCAAGACCGGTAATCTTGTTCTCCATTCTTTTCATCAACAATGCTAACCAACTTCTCATATTTATTGAATTTGATATACTGATAGTTTGGTAAATGAACTTGCAAATGCATAACAGAAGATTTCATTTCAGCAAGATTAAAGCTTAAAATCCGCCATGCTGCCTCAGGTGGTGACACCCATCTTGCATTCTAAAATTCTTTAATTTCATCATATTCCTCAACAACATTATTCCCACACAACCAAATGCTAACTCTATCATGTCCTTTATAGATATACTTATAAATATATTTAACACACTTAATTACAACACATATTTCAAGGTTAACATGGCAATCAAACTTCTCCAACAAATATCTATAAGGAACAACCCACCGGTTATCCAACTCATGTCCCCTAACAAAAACAGTTTTACAAGTAGGTCTCCTACGATATATTGGGTAGGAATCATTGCCTAACACTGTTTCATTAGAAAAGGATTTAGGGTATTTACTTTTACAGCACTTGTTCTTCCCTTCTCTTTTTTGGACCATCCAAGAAAATGTAGGTTTTAAAGACCCACATGGACCATGAATCATATGCCTTGCAACTAAACTATGCAAATAAGGATAAACTCTTTTATCTGGTATTTCAGCACTGACAATCTTATCACACTGATTTGGTGAAGTAATTGTATGGCTCCCACGTAGAATTAGTAAAAAATGAGCATGAGGAAGGTCTCACTTTTGAAACTCAATCACATGTGTAGGCTGCAACTTCACCAAAGATTTTTTTTTTTCTTCAAAATATCATCTTTCATTTCTTCAACCCGTGCGCGAAAAGACAGTGTAATAACATTATGTATTGGTAACAACCGAAAAGCAACAGTAAGTCCGATACAGGAGCCCCCAAAAATGAACAATAAAGCATAAACAAACAAAGATGTATGTATTATGTTTCAACAACTAAATCAGGCAAGATTACTTTATTGACTATAGTTTGCAAGTCTAAATTAAAATTGAAGGTAAGGCACCTTAATGTATTTGAACTATACTCGTACATGCAGTAGACAAGGAAATGCATCAACGAATTCGCCAGTAGCAATTAAAAATGTATGAGCAAATCCATTCACTTAAAGAGAAGGTTCATCAACCTTTTCTGCGTACATGGAAAATGTAGATGGATAATTCTGGATGACAAGGTCAAGAAATTTGAAAGCCATTAATCGCACTTCAATTGCTAAATTTGTCATTGCGCTGAATATGTACACCATTATCAAGGATATAAATGGCCTCTTGCCATCCTGGAACAAGAGAAGAAAATGTATAGCTGCTGTTGATTTATTCAAAATATAATGAGATAAACTATATGAAATAAATTGAATACATTCTTGCGCACAACACTCACTTAAATCATAGCAACCACACTATATGTTCAGTGATTATCATAATGAATACTACTCCTGAATTAACTAGGGAACTACAAAAGCACATTCGAGAATACCTCTACACATCCAGGAAAAATAACTGACTTGAAGAGTTGATATAGTGTTTCACGAACCAACTTATCATCATCACTAATCCGTTCACGCAGTTTCTCTATAACAGCAAGTTTGTGCAGCTTCAGTTCAACTGGGTATTTAAGAAATATATCCTTGATTCCAACCAATGCATCTGAGATGAAAACACATAATTATGTAAACTTCTACTGAACTCATAAACGAGGTCGAAAAACACTCATCCAAGATGCATTTAGCTTAGTCTTATGATCAATTGTTTTTCAAGTTGAAGTCTCCTCACAAGTTAAAATGTCATATGGGAGTACCTTTACGGACTCTAGCATTGTGATGACTTGTTTGCTGAAGAAGCTCCTTCAGGGTTAACCCTTTCTTACTCACAGCTAAACCTGCCTTCTCAAAAGCTACACTCTGCTCGGGAAGAACAATCGCTGTTCATGGAGTTGGAACACACAATAACAGTTTCATCAACTACTTCAGTAGCCATTGCCACTTATTATGCTAGTCCAACGAGCTCAACATAATTTAACATTTTTGGCAGCAAATACTACTTGTAAACACATAATAAGCTTTCTCTTTAATATATATATATATATATATATATATATATATATATATATATATATATATATATATATATATATATGTTACCTTTGGATTTGATTTCCGTGTTAGTAGAGTTCTTTGGCGGGGGCAATTTTCGACCAACTTTTCTTCTTATTTTCTGAAAAACCAAAATCAAAAGAAAATGTTGCATTTGCGTATAAACAACTGACCAATCAGCAATATGCTTGAAATCCCAAACTTCTAAATTGAGCGAGCAAATTGAAAGAAATACTTTGAAATCAACGCCGCGCTTTTGCTGCTTCTTTGGTTGAGCTTTAGACTTCACCATCGTGGTAGAGATTCTGAGATTTCAGCTGTCCAGGATTGGGAATTTGGATGAAGTGACGATATTATGAGAACAGAGGGTAATGTGGGTTTAGGGTTTAAGGAACAAGTTATTCCACAATTAATAGTTAAAAATTCTAATTTAGTAATGTGTAGGGGTGAGCATCGATCGGTTACGGTCAATAACCGACCGATAACCGAATAACCGATTATACTTTTTAACTCTTCATAACCGACCGTAACCGACTGACCATATGCCTATAACCGACCGAACCGATTATGTATGTATGTATGTATGTATGTATGCATGCATGAATGCATACATGCATGCATGCATGCATGTATGTATGTATGTATGCATGCATGCATGCATGCATGTATGCATGCATGCATGCATGCATGCATGCATGCATGTATGTATGTATGTATGCATGCATGCATGCATGCATGCATGCATGTATGTATGCTGTATGTATGTATGTATGTATGCTGTATGTATGTATGTATGTATGTATGCATGTATGTATGTATGTATGTATGTATGCTGTATGTATGTATGTATGTATGTATGTATGTATGTATGTATGCATGTATGCATGCATGCATGCATGCATGTATGTATGTATGTATGGGTTGAGGTGCGGGTATATTTTTTCATGGAGTAGTGGTCTCCAACTGGTCATAGACCCCATATTTTTTTTAAACAATTTTTTTATTTCTTTTTAAAATTTTTAATTAATTACTTATTAGTAACTTGCTAGTACCTGCTTCTCAAACAAATTAGTTGCCAACATCTCTAACTCTCTAACAAAAAATTTTCTTGTTGTATTATCTCCTTTTTCTAGCATAAAATACAAACAGAAACTATTCTCGTTTTGAATAGGAAATCATACCTTCTTTGAGAGGTCATGAGTTGGATTGAAAGGAAACTCATCCCAAAGCTTTTTGAGTGCCAGCAGTGAAATTCTTTGATCAGATATGTTAACATGTGTGTGATGGTAAGGAGATTCAAGAATAAAGAATCTGACTAGAAGATCGATGTTTTGAAGTATAAGTAGCATACAATCATAGGACTGTGTGTCCATTTGGGGCATGTTATGAACCAGGGGACTGAAGTCCTGGAAACAACTAACGAGAGCAGGTAAGAGATTCTTCAATTTCTCCACAACACCAGAACTAGAAAGCCCTACAGAGAATATGAGAAAGGTTAAGTACTTCAGAATTCTTATCCACAACGAACACTTAAAACCCTATTTGTTTGATATGAAACAACAAGGGAACGGGATGAGATAAAGGGGCAATCCAATTAACAAACATAAAATTTCAGATCAGAGCACCAGTCTCCCTCCCTCATTCACAAAAATAGGAAGATGAGGGAATGCATATAAGAGAAGAGGGGGGAGGGAGAAAGAGAGAAGTGGGGAACCAAACATAGGGAAGAAAGTCAAGAAACTGGTAAGATTGTCATGGTACAATAATTTTTAATTTGCAGAGATTGTAAATAAAAATAGTAGCAAAGGTATTTTTTACTGACCAGAGGAATCACTTGAAATGTCAGGAACAAAAGCGTGCAATGTCACTTGAACAGGAATATCATGCAAAAGTTTAATTTGACCATTTGGAAGACAGAAGAATAAATAAATTACCAATGAGCACAACTTTGGCCAACTTTAACATATAACAACCTTTGAACAGAGCATCTTGCTCCAGTCACAACAGCATAGAGAATGTGTTAGAGTAAAGAACAGGAAAAAAGATAACAGAGAGATAAATTGGTTTATTGGACGGGGAAGGGATATAAGGTTGTCTCTAAGACACCTCCAACAAGAGTATTAGGCTCTTGTCCAGCTATAGCTATGCTAGAACTTAGGAAGATTATTCGATGCCCTCCTCTCTTGAGGAGGTTACAATTTATACTGCAATGCAGAAAATAAATATAGTAAAGGGAGAGAATTGAGAAGCTGATTTATCTCTGTTAGGTTCCATGATTTAAGCTTGTCCCTTGATCAGTGTGTTGATTGTTTTGATTTGCCTGATTTGCTGTCCAGATTTCCTAATTTCCTAATCCTGTGTTGATTCCTTTTTTTTTGCGTGAGTAAACCACCCATTCCCTTGGGTGTGTATCAGAATGGAAGTAACAAGCCCAAGGGATATGATCAATAAAAACAATAGAACTAGCATAACTCCCCCAAATTTTCACACAGAATAAAGAATAGCAAACCCAATAAAATAATCTTATTTAATGCATTTTAAAGACTAAAATAGAACATATTGATACTGTCGCAACAGAGATTGGCAATGACAATAGCTCAAGGCCTATCAGCCTATCAATAACAACTGCAGTTTAATCCTTAATGCATATCAAATATTAAAATTGACACAAATCCCTACAGACATAGCATATTGCTCCAGTCTTAACTCACAACATAGAGAATGGCAATAACAATAGCTAGAGGGAAACCAGAAACACTCAAATAACTAACAAAACCAATCCACCTCATCACAAAATTATATTTATAAAATAAAAATAAAAAAAAAAAAACCTAAACAATTTTGCACAAGTCTCTTTAATTCATTTTGAATATTTAAATAAACATAAACAATCCTCATTAAATTAATGCTTTAGTACCAAACGTTAAAAAATACGGAGTAATAATTAAACTAGAAAGGGTTCATACTTCATAGCACATACCTTCTTATCTGACAAGTCACCAGCACTCCTATTTTTGAATGGTAACAGTGATAAACAACGAACCAACCCAGAAAGACCAGTCTTTATCTTTCCCTTGTCTTGCAGGAAAAATTTGTTTTTCTGCAAAATATCTCCGTAATTTTGGAGAATCTATAAATTTACAGTTGAAAAGAAAAAAAGGTCAGAAAGATGAGAACAATAAACATATGGAGAAGAATATAAGGTTGAACACAATCATCAGTAAGAACCAAGAAAACGAAGCAACCCTAAAAGACTGTGTAATAACATTATGTATTGGTAACAACCGAAAAGCAACAGTAAGTCCGATACAGGAGCCCCCAAAAATGAACAATAAAGCATAAACAAACAAAGATGTATGTATTATGTTTCAACAACTAAATCAGGCAAGATTACTTTATTGACTATAGTTTGCAAGTCTAAATTAAAATTGAAGGTAAGGCACCTTAATGTATTTGAACTATACTCGTACATGCAGTAGACAAGGAAATGCATCAACGAATTCGCCAGTAGCAATTAAAAATGTATGAGCAAATCCATTCACTTAAAGAGAAGGTTCATCAACCTTTTCTGCGTACATGGAAAATGTAGATGGATAATTCTGGATGACAAGGTCAAGAAATTTGAAAGCCATTAATCGCACTTCAATTGCTAAATTTGTCATTGCGCTGAATATGTACACCATTATCAAGGATATAAATGGCCCCTTGCCATCCTGGAACAAGAGAAGAAAATGTATAGCTGCTGTTGATTTATTCAAAATATAATGAGATAAACTATATGAAATAAATTGAATACATTCTTGCGCACAGCACTCACTTAAATCATAGCAACCACACTATATGTTCAGTGATTATCATAATGAATACTACTCCTGAATTAACTAGGGAACTACAAAAGCACATTCGAGAATACCTCTACACATCCAGGAAAAATAACTGACTTGAAGAGTTGATATAGTGTTTCACGAACCAACTTATCATCATCACTAATCCGTTCACGCAGTTTCTCTATAACAGCAAGTTTGTGCAGCTTCAGTTCAACTGGGTATTTAAGAAATATATCCTTGATTCCAACCAATGCATCTGAGATGAAAACACATAATTATGTAAACTTCTACTGAACTCATAAACGAGGTCGAAAAACACTCATCCAAGATGCATTTAGCTTAGTCTTATGATCAATTGTTTTTCAAGATGAAGTCTCCTCACAAGTTAAAATGTCATATGGGAGTACCTTTACGGACTCTAGCATTGTGATGACTTGTTTGCTGAAGAAGCTCCTTCAGGGTTAACCCTTTCTTACTCACAGCTAAACCTGCCTTCTCAAAAGCTACACTCTGCTCGGGAAGAACAATCGCTGTTCATGGAGTTGGAACACACAATAACAGTTTCATCAACTACTTCAGTAGCCATTGCCACTTATTATGCTAGTCCAACGAGCTCAACATAATTTAACATTTTTGGCAGCAAATACTACTTGTAAACACATAATAAGCTTTCTCTTTAATATATATATACATACATATATATATATATATATATATATATATATATATATATATATATATATGTTACCTTTGGATTTGATTTCCGTGTTAGTAGAGTTCTTGGGCGGGGGCAATTTTCGACCAACTTTTCTTCTTATTTTCTGAAAAACCAAAATCAAAAGAAAATGTTGCATTTGCGTATAAACAACTGACCAATCAGCAATATGCTTGAAATCCCAAACTTCTAAATTGAGCGAGCAAATTGAAAGAAATACTTTGAAATCAACGCCGCGCTTTTGCTGCTTCTTTGATTGAGCTTTAGACTTCACCATCGTGGTAGAGATTCTGAGATTTCAGCTGTCCAGGATTGGGAATTTGGATGAAGTGACGATATTATGAGAACAGAGGGTAATGTGGGTTTAGGGTTTAAGGAACAAGTTATTCCAAAATTAATAGTTAAAAATTCTAATGTAGTAATGTGTAGGGGTGAGCATCGGTCGGTTACGGTCAATAACCGACCGATAACCGAATAACCGATTATACTTTTTAACTCTTCATAACCGACCGTAACCGACCGACCATATGCCTATAACCGACTGAAACCGATTATTGCGGTTTCGGTCGGTTATTGCGGTAACGGAAAAACCGTGCCTTAGCCCTTAGTTTCACTGTAAAATGTATATAAACATATTTTTGAATTTTGAGAATAAGACTTAAACAATAAACACTAATCATTCATCACTGCCAAGTTCATAATTCATACTTCCAAATTCCAACACTGCCAAAGTGTCAATATGCATAACACATTCATCAAATTTCAAAAAGGAAAAAAATAAAATCCAAGATCTACATAAGCATCCAGGATTGGGAATTTGGATGAAGTGACGATATTATGAGAACAGAGGGTAATGTGGGTTTAGGGTTTAAGGAACAAGTTATTCCACAATTAATAGTTAAAAATTCTAATGTAGTAATGTGCAATACTACATAATTCCAAATCAAAAAATAAATAGAAAATTACACTTGAAAAAGTCTAAATATAAAATATAATAATCTCACAAGTCCAAAATAAAGTCTCCAAAGATACAAAGATACTAATTTTCCAAATGTCAAATTGTCAATGCCAAGTCTAAACAGTAAACACACAATACAAACACACTGCCAAAGCGCCAAACTCCAGAATTAATTTTCAAATACTAACAAGTGTTCAAGTAACAACAGAGTCCATTGTATGAAATATGTAAAAATTTAATGTATGAAATCCGAGAGCCTTAGCAATGCAGCGTATAATGTACGAAATTCCTTCAAATTTTAATATGAAAAAAAAAAAAAAAAAACAACTTTACCTTGAGAGTTGGAGTTATAGCGACTATGTGAAGCAGAGCCGCAGAGGGCTGACACCTTACTGGCTGAGTGGCTGAGGGGCGAGGCTGAAGATGTGAGGACTGAAGAGACAGGGCAGGGCGCAGGGCGTGTGGAGTGACCGCCTGACCGGAGTGTCGCCAGCCGCCGAGGATGGAGGCCGGAGGAGGGCGTGAGGCGCAGAGGACCGTGGAGATATGTTCGCGCGTCGTCTGGGATACTCTATTTTGTGTGTTTTTTGTTTTGTATTGGGCTTCTGCCTTTTGGATTAGGTCAAAACATTAAATGGGCTAATGGCAGAATGAATCGGCTGACTGACAGTATTTGATATATATATATATATATATATATATATATATATATATATATATATATATATATACACTAGTCGTGGGCTCGCACTTTGCGCGAAACACCATGCTCTATAGTCAATTAATGTGTTTTAATTTTTAAATAATGATAATATATATAAATATTAATAATTGTTATATGAAAAATTAAATGTATATATAAATACATTATATACATAGCAACATGGTATAATTATAATTCCAAACATTACCATAACAAATTAACAATACATCATTAATAATAAAATATTTTATATAATATATAGAGTATTTTTAGTATTACGACAAAGTTAAACATTACTAACACATAATTCATTAATTCAATGATCGAATATATTTTTAGTGGACATTAGTAGACAATTCATTAGTAGCGGATGTTTTAAAATTTTCATATTCTAAATGAGTGTACAGAGAGTTTGTTTAAGAAATATATTTATGAGAATAACATAAAAAGGAATTTTAACACAAAGAATATACAATACATAAACATGTTATTTCACCTATCATTAAATATTTTAAAATTATAATGTTGATCATTATAATTTGATGTCATACTGGTAATCAAATTTCAGGAAAAAAAATAGTTATTTGTAATAATCATAGCATCAAAGCAATAAAACTTTCACATTAACATGTGAGATAGATATTGTAGTCATTCAAAATATTACATTTTGACAAGTTTTTCAAAATATTTGTGTAATTTCAATTCAAAGTCTATTAGTGAAAGGACTTTGAACCAGAATTACAAAGCATCAAATTAAGGACAAACTATTTTTTTTTCAAAGAAAAAATTGGAATATTTGATGTTGTCAAAAGAGCAAAAATATGATAGATATTTGGCCATTGTTTGCCATACAGCTAAAGTTCAAAATAGATAGATGTTAAGTGAGAGAATTATCCAAGCTTGAGCAATTTGGATTTTTCATTAGTAATGTCATCTTCTAAATTTGCATCTTCTAAATCTGCAAAAGCATTTGAAGGCTGATTTGAAATTGAGTCTTCATAGATCAGTTTTCTCTTGAGCCTTTTCGCCATGGTGATTGACTTTTCTTCCAGTAGAGATATAATAGAATACTTAATTTGCTCACTTTCCCTAAAATTTTGTTTTCTGCATAGGAGTTCTACTTTGAATGTTTTCTTGCTCAACTTCTCTTTAATGTTTTGTAGATCAACAGTCTCATTCTACAAGAAGAAAGAAAGCACAATAATCAAATATAAATATAGTCAATCTATTAACACACTCAATATCATTATTATGAGTAAAAGGCTAACTTTCTTGTCCGTGTCTACCAATTTAGTGACAGAGAGTGAAAGTAACTCCTCTACAATGTTTCAAAAGAGTGCAGACTCAAGTGAATCATTGGTTTCGGTAAGTTCAATGCCCATCATACACCTGCAGTATATATATTCCAAAGAGTGCAGACTCAAGTAAGTCATTATTTTCGGTAAGTTCAATGCTCATCATACGCCAGAGGTTTATATATATATATATATATATATATATATATATATATATATATATATATATATATTATAGCAATTAGGGATGTAATGAATTAAAAAACAGAAAATTTACCTTGATTTTGCAATTGCTTTTGAGTTTCTACAATGTGAACACTCAAATTCATCACTCAAATTATGTGCAATTCCTTTCCAACAACCATCACATGCAATGTAATAGAAGTCTTTACCTTTGTCGAAATTTTTATACTTGCATAGATGCAATATCTCTTCCCCTTAAAAAGAGAAATGATAAATTTAAGAACCAAATAAAAATGTGGTTATATTTAAAATCATAATATGTTCTAATACAAATTATATCCTTGATTTTTGTCCATTTTTTATATGCTAATAAATATATACATTTTGCTTTAATTGTTGTACATTTCATTTGTATTTGACAAAATCACCCTTACACCATTATAACATCATTAGTATTTAATATATCCACCAATCTTACCATACACCAACATCTATCATATCTTTTTTCTATTTTTAATTATCATTTTATTAAAATTATCATATAATAATTAATTTAATTATAAATTATATTTTAATTAAATATTTATATGAATGTTAAATTATATATATATATATATATATATATATATATATATATATATATATATATATATCTAAAAACATAATAAATAAGCCTCAATGAAAGTTATATCCTTGATTTATGTCCCTCTTTTTGTATGCAAATAAATGTGTACATTTTACTTTAAATGTTGTACATTCCAATGTAATTAGACAAAACTATCCTTACACCGTTATAACACCATTAGTTTTTAATTCTAACTTTAATCTATCATATCTTTTTCCTATTTTTAATTATCATTTTATTAAAATCATTATATATTAATTTAATACTTAATTATATTTTAATTAAATTTCTATGAATGATAAATTATATATGTGTGTGTACAAAATACATATATTATTTGCATATATATCATTCAATTTATAATTTTTAATTATCTGAATTTATCAATGTTTTAATATTGGGCATGAATTTTCGCGCATCGCACGTACACAATGCTATATATATATATATATATATATATATATATATATATATATATATATATATATATATATATATATATATATATATTGTGTGCGCGTGTTAGCTTAGTATTATTTGTAAATTATTATTATATAAATTTTTTTTTTTTGTTTTGATCACTATATTATCCAAATATATGATAATTCAAAAGTATCATCACTTTAAGGAATTGCAAACAATAATTTTAATTAATTTTTAAAATTTTGTTACTTAACAATATTTTAATATTGGGCATAGGTTTTTGCACATTGCATGTACAAAATGCTAGTTATAATATATGTTGGAATATATATTTAAAAGCATAAATATAAAGAAAAATAGTTAACCTCGATACTTGAACTCTTAACATTTGAAATGGTGATAAATTGTTCCTTTAACAAATCGGGAAGCTTTAGATATGCATCATTGAATGCATTGGTCAAAATAAGTGAATGCAACGTGATAGAATTTGATAATGCCCTGTTTATTGAATAGATAGCTCAATATTATGTGGAATAAGGATGCAGACTTTATTTTAAAGAAAAAAATTATAGTATCATTGACCAAGTTGTTCTGCTTTAGGTGTTGCAATATCAAAGTCAATTACAGAACCATATCGGGTTGTCAAGGAGAGAACTAATAAGAGTACTTCAAATTAGTTTTCAAAAATGACTAAGTGTAAAAATAACTTTCAAAATGAAATAGAATATTGTATACACACCATTGTAGTTTGTCACCTCAATCTTCTTTGCGAAAATTACAGGAAAATTGACTGCTGCAAGTTGTTTCTCTAACTCTATTCCTTCTCCTTTTGCATATTTTCCCCAAAGAGTAAAAATCACTGGTTTCGCCTTGACCATGGCCATTAACCAAAACTAATTATATGTATGAATTTCATATATAGTATCAATTAAAGCATCGATTATGATTTGTTAGTAATTAAAAGTAGTAAAATATTACAAAAACTCACTGTTCATCATCCAACACGATATTTGCAGCATCAATTTTTCTGTTCTTTCAAATCAATAAGCTTCCTTGGCAGCTTGTGTATAACAACAGCCATAACACCTAAATTTTATTAAAAGTAATAGTTAAAATAAAATGAGAGTTCTGCAATTGCATTAAGAAGAATAAAGTTTGTTACAAAAAAATTGTAAAACATACTGATTTTTTGCTCTGTATTAATGTACTTGTGAAAATGATAAAATGAAATCTCTTCTATTTATGGTTCTTGCATAACTTTGGAGTCCATCATCATCAAGAACAACAGCTACAATACATTTTCTAGTTAAAGTCCAGAGGTAGTTGTATCTTTCATCCGGAAGCACAAGCTTTCCTTTAGGAATTGATACAATTGCATCTGTGATAATGTATGTTGCATTCAAACTTAACTTATTATCAAAGATGTCAATTTTATGTGCATATGTCATTGCCTGAACTTTGTAGTCCTTAAAAGAACGTAAAACAATTTTTTTTAAAAAAATAAATCAATAGGCTCAACACATGTAGTTTGCAACATAATAGTCATACTATAAACAAAATAAATAAATTAAATGTAATAGAATTACTCACTGCTTCATCTTGAAGAATAATTGGTCTGTACTTATTACCCGGCGTGGTTTTGGAGTCTTGGGCATCTAATTTGTTTACAACACATACCTTACAAGACCAATCTTGTCCTCCAGGGGATAAGCAGATATCAACAATCTTCTCACCATTCTAGTAATACATACATAAGAATTTATTATTTGTTAGCCATTATTTAAAATAAGATATTAAAGAAAAAAAAAACATAAAACAAATATTGGAGAGTACGTACTAACACAACAAAAAACTAAATCATGTAGTTCATATATATGGAAACTCATTTGTGTGAACTTTGTATCAATCCCGGTCATAATGCACTGTAAAATTTCAGGATACACAATGTTATATGTTATATTAGTGGTTTGATTTTCATCCTCTTCACTGTGTATTATTAGCTTAACAAAATCTGACTTTCTTGCTCGAGACATGGCAACATACAATTGTCCATGAGAGAAGACCGGTTCTCTTAAGTATATTCCAACAAAATCCAAAGTTTGACCTTGAGCTTTATTTATTGTCATGGCAAAACAAACTCTTATAGGAAACTGATGTCTCTTGAAAGGAATGGGACACTTATCATCTTTTGAAATCTGCAATGGTATCTGTGGTATAAACACATGATTTCCTTTATGTTCT